CATATTAGTAATATGCCCTGTCAATTATCGTTGGAGATCGTATCGTACGCAAGCTATCCATTGGTGTGTAACAGTAATAAAGCTTAAAGGGACTCTTCGTGTAGCGTGTTTTTATGCTATTTCAAACATTTCATGCATAAAGTGATGACAAAAATGTGTTAAGAAGTGGCAGTGATGTCACTGTCAAGCAGATTTCCTCGCCAAAACTATTTGCTGCCCTTGAATTGCCTTGTGTGCTTTTAAAATTCCGAACTCATATTGATATTCGGCGTATCTCTGCCTTTCGTTCTTAATCAGTCTTCTGGCAGTTTTCAATCTGGTCCTCGCGCTAGATTACAGTGGTTAGTGGAGAGGAGAAGGCACTTTGAAGTCAGACGGATGATTATGACAGGAAGCATTTGGCAGGAAGCTAGCCGTATGGTCGTGACAAGATAGTGCTCAAAGCTTGAGGAGTCGTCTCATCTTGAACACATTTTTGCAGCATGAATAACATGAAAGTTTCTGGTTATACTGCCTTTGAAATAAGCATTTAAAAAAAGCACGCGGATGCATAAGGCACTGTTGACGCCTTCAATTAAAACATGTTATCAAATAAAGAGGCAAAGGCAGACATAGTAGTGGCATACGTATGTTTGCACCACCATTAGATATGTATACTAAAACATAAGCCAGCACAGAATAGATTGTCAATATATCATGAACTGAACTTATGGAAAAAAATCGAATACAATATTACAACGTGGTTTTGAAAGTGCATGTTCAACCTTTACGCAATACCAAAAGCAAAACACTCCATCGACAGTCTTCTTTGGATACTTTAGGATTTCGCTGTCGTGCAATGCGCAGGCTTTCAACAGGAATCAAGGAAAAGCTGATTGCTATCGGCTAACGTGCTGCTTAGCTTTAAATTCCTTTAAATCTCTGAGTCGTTTTCGCAATGTTATCCTATGAATTCATGAAATTTCAGGATAAACCTTCTTTAATCCCCGATGCGCTCAGAGGACAAGGCACTGTAAATATAAGTTACGTAAATGTACCTTAGCTATACCCTATGTATAAATAAAGCAATGTGACATAGTCAAATCAAACTGGCACAAACGATATTTATATCCCCACGTTACTACCTGTTCCTGCTTCTTCGTAAGAACGCTTGATGATCAATGAACAATGATGATTCAAAGCAACAAGAAAAAAATCTTACCAGGCGTTGAAAAGCTTTCTGGTTCTGCTGCCGTCGGCGCACGCTAACTTGTTCTGCTGTGGTAGCCGCGCTGGTGAATCCAAGGACTGCGCGACCAACCGGCTTTTTATCTCACGAACCAATGCTGGATTCCTGCCTGGAGGGTCTTGCTCATGAATATGCTAAAATACCTCCTTTGCCACGTCCAATCGGAGCCGTCATTGCACCATAACATATTAACGGATACAGTTGACCTGTTTTCATATAGAAATTATTGTGAAATCATTTCTGCCTTGGGCTCTTTGTGTCAAATAATTGTGGCAGTGTTTTATAATTATATATGTATGAGGTTGGTCTGGGGTGAATCTACTAAAAGCTTTACTAAAATAGATAAATAGATAAGTAAATACGAAATATTCTATATATGTCACCATGGCATGGATGATCTCTTTTGATAAAACAAATATATATGTTTTATATGTTTTTTATCATGTGGATGTAAATGAGAGACAAGCTTAAGGAAATGCAAATCCACCCTCCGACATGTCATCTCATGAACTGCAGCCCTGCGAGGCATGTCATCTGTTTGAAGCCATGAGTAAGTACTGAATGGCCGGAGGCGACAGGGTTAATCGAAATGATAAGTTGGCGTATCACGTATCGTGATGGTTCAACGGTTAGCGACCCTGTTTCTCGACCAGAAGGTCGAAAGCTAGAATCCCTCGTGTTTTCGCGTCCCTGTTCAACCTGCCACAGGAAAAGGTTGAGGTCCTCAATCATGCACAGGCTGAGTGTTTGAAAGCACGTTTCATCTAAGTCGTGGAAAAGAGTACCGGAATATCTCCGTTCACTCAAACTGCCTACGCATGTGTCTCTGTCAATATGGACATGCTCGTCTGTGATTTTTAAGTCATGCCGATTTAATTTCTTGGTTCTCGTATTTCTGTGAGGATATAAGTTTTGTACTTTCCACATTTTCCTCACAGCTCTCTGTTGTCTTCAAATGTCTTCGTCCTAAAAATTGTACAAAAAGAATCAATTTGGTGCAGCGTTACGATCTGTGTGGGAGTAGCTACCGTTACCTGGCAGGTAAATGTGAATCGAGATGCCCAATGATTAGCCATTCGTCGCCATTCACGTTCGTTATAGTTCCATCAAGACCATCGGTTTTCAGATCGATTTGGGAATAGCTTTTAAAAGAAATCATTCAATAAGGAATTCACACTCGGGCCATGTATATCTGTTTCGCCATGTAGCCTTGGGTCTAAAGTTAACCAAAAATACAAACCATAACAATAGCAGCAATAATCGCTGTAAACTACATCAACATATTAACTAGGTCAACAATACCAATAACACAGCTAAACATAGGATATTACTGCAGCAGTGGTTCCGATTAACGATTGCTGCTGATGTATCAATTTTCTATCCGTCCCTCAATATTCACGTCACGACTTTCGACTCGGTTAAAAGAGACAAACTATGCTTTTAGTAGATTTGCAGGTTGTGTAAGTAAGACCCAAATTTTTAATTTTGGATGCCATTCTAAAATCATCGTCAGGAATAAAACCTCATCATCGTTGTTCACTATGGCAATGTGGCCATACGTTTATTCACTGAACAACCCTGCCCATTGCAAACCGTCCTAGCCGCATATATATTTTTACTTTAAAGATTGATATGCTTTCTTAGCGTTCACCTCGCTAAAGAGTACATCATCGGTTTCCTTGGCACAGGAGCCGTACCATAGGTATTGCCCAGGGTGGGGAATGATTGAATGTTAGTTTCAGCTTGTCATGTTAGGCATCTATGGTCATCAGTTATCTTTATACCTGCAGTGACATGCTTAGTGTTATAGATGGCACCGGGATAGCTGAGGAAGTGACACTTTGCATAAGTCTTTGGTGCGGTGGCCATATGTAACGTAACGTGAATCCCTTTTGTATACATTGCTAGTGAAAATGACATCAAATGACAGCTAAAATGTCGGTATTTCCTGGTCTTTAAAATAAGTAACGATTGATTTTCCTATCGCGAAGAGACGTTTAAACCTAACAGCTCGATCGTGGGCGTTGAAGGTACAAAAAGGTGGCTGCATGAGAAATGACTAGTATCTCATCTTTGTCGGGCTAAACTGCAGGGATGGTAATTCTAGTAAAGCTATTACTATCAGTAATGCCCGTGTTTGAGTGTGTAGGTAGAAAATGGTTATGCCATGAAGGATCTCCATACATCATGGAATCTTCCGGTTTACCCCATAAATGTGCTTCCTGTCGTCATCAAACCTGGACTTTAATGAATTCTGGACGACGCACCGTGCAGACTGAAAACTTCCGGGTGTCATATGGTATAAATATAGATATGATAGACAACTAGTAATGAAGACCAAGCGTGATTTCGGATTGGATCTGTTCATTACCGCTAACTGCTGAAGCAAACAATGAATACATAATCAAATTATTCTGAGAAATCACACAGATATATTTTTGGCAAACAGGCGTGGTGAAAATTACATTCCTGGCGAGGCTGACATTGCAACCTATGCTGAAATACGATTATACAGCACAGTATCATAGGCACTGGCGTCGACAGCAAAATGTTCACATTCTTTGGAATCAGAATTATAGTACATATATGCTATGCTTCCATAACTAAAGTCATAAAATATTACAGGCCTAGGTAGGTAGAGCTGAATATACATTTACATCTTCAACATCATTTGTGTTCTGCAACATTAGACAACTTTAATCCTAACCGTATTTGGGAAAGCATATGATATACAACTTTCGAGACAAGAATAAACATCATAAACTGCAAGGCTGATTTTTATGAATAAAACTTGAAATTGAGCATCTGAAACCCTCGCTACGTTGCCAAGATTCGCTTGTCAAAAGAGACATGTTGTGACTACAAACCGATGAATGAGTCTACAGGGTCACAGCAGACTTAGCCTTTTTCTGTCAATTTCTGAGGTTTCAATGAGCTTTGCCCGGGGGAAATCACTTCAGGTGTCTGTTTCCGTTAATAAGAAAGGGCAACTACCCTCTTGGCAGTAAGGAAAGATGTTGGCCTGAACCACTGGTGGTGATGGGGGTTGTCACCCCTGACCCAGTTGGGTCAACAGTTACTTGCGCGTCATGTCACAGCCGCCATGTTGCCTTACTAATTAAACCTTGAAGCGCCAGACCTATAACCTCACCTGGTAACTGCCATGACTAACTGTACCTCATTTATCTAAGGCATGTCGTGATCTAAACTCTAAATGAACTTATAGGCATCCAATGCAATTACAGGGCAATAAAGATGAAATTTCGGAGCTAACTTTCTGGTACATCTTTTTGATATAGTACGCTGGATCAATCATATCGTAGTATGTTGGTATCTGTGAGGCAAAATGTGACGTCAGTTACGGAAAAGGGTTGCTTGTTTTGAATCGTAGGCTTATTCTAGCTATTTATTGACACCCAAAACTAAGGAGACTGATACCTGCCTTGCTCAATTTTTGCCTTACATTAGTATAGTAAGCGTGTTGTTTACTACGAAAACGGAACGCTTTTTTTTGGTTAAATGAAAAATTATTTCAATTTTCTTTAAAGCAAAGAGACATCAATACAGCAGTAATTCAATATGCCGCAAGAAAACAATTGCGTCTTCATTTGATAAGTCTCGCCCACGAGAAGTTTGATGTTTGCAATCTGTTTGCTTTGCTTTTATCTTTCGCTTTTTTTTATTCATTTGAGGTAAAATTGCTCATTGTTGTTGAGCACCGTGCCTGGTGTAGGACGTGTTTTTGCTGTCCAGAAAACTGACAAGAGGCACCATGCCGGGAGGGCAGCAGCAGTCCCAGACTGGAGTCACAGGAGGTAGCGTGTTCTTGTTTGTTTGTTTGTTTGTTTGTTTGTTTGTTTGTTTGTTTTCTATTTGTTTTTATTATTCCTTAATGCACAGATTCCCTCTGCATAGCTTTCCACAGCTCGGGACCAAGACGTCATGAGTTCGAATCCCGGCTATTCTCAAAATACATACCTGTAAACTACAACTAATTGATTTGGCAGTTGCGACGTTAAATGAACAAACAAATTAATAAATAAAGCCCTTTTCTGTAGCTTACACGTCATGTAAACGACATATGCCATATATAAAAAAATGCTATATTATGCACATAACAAACAAACGAACCCCACATGTTACTAGCTACCAGTTTTGTAGCCAGGCTTTAGCAAAAACAAATACCCGTATCTTTGTTATATTTTGTGGGTGTTTCATGTGACTCTCACTTAACTTTCTATGAGTAAAATTATAAACCATGCAGCCATAATATATGCATATTATGGTTGCATTATAATGTTATATTCTTAAGTATGCATTTCACATTACATAATTACATCATATGTTACTTTACATTATGTTGTCAGATAGGACTGTGAAACGCATATTCCTCTTTAATTATTCAACAGATTCCACCTACGACACGGCGGCGGACGTTAAGAAGTGTTGGCGCCTTCGCAACAAGCTTCGCAACAATATTTGGCAGGTCGCAGGCCTTGGGTTTGCCGTGGTGATCGTCATACTGTTGTCTTTCTTTGCAGGCAAGTTTCTTACATGACTTTAAAAGAATACATGCGTTGTTTTGCCTGCCATTTTTTTTTGAATAAGGAAAGTGATCTCAATTTAGTTTTAGCTCATTGAAGAGATAATCTCCTACTGTGATAGAGAAGATATGTACATTTTGCTTCCTTCGACAGTCACAATGGGCATTGGACCACAGCTTACTCCCAACTTCTTGGTCAATGTTAACTTGCAGTGCTGCATACGTTCATCGTCGTACAAACACTGTTGTAGAAATTTGTTGTAAAATTGCCTTTTGAACATGCTCATATACATGTATTCTTACTTTTTCTCTTATCTTCTCGATATAGTGCAAGTCAACAATCTCTCAAAGCAATTTGTGGAGATGAAAAAGGAGACTGGGCTGCGAGTAGCCGAGCTGGAACGTTAGTATCCTGTCTATTATATTAGACGTAGAATTTCAATACACTTGATATGTAGCTGCTTGTATTGTAATTATATAACTGTTATATTTTAAACTGTTATATGTAATAGTTGAACAGTCATGCTCACCTGTTAATATGTGCATGTACATGTGTAAAGGAACTTAATGCTCGCCAAACTCAAAAACACAATAGCTAGTATACATGTTTAGACTGATTGTGGCGTTTTGATTCTATCTTAGGTTATCCCTAGTAAACGTATGAACTAATCTCTTTTTTCAGAGGTGTGTGCTTCATCCGGGTTTGCCGGCCCACCAGGAGAGAAGGGGGCCACGGGGCCAGTTGGCCCTCGGTCTGCCGGACCTCCTGGCCCACGAGGAGAGAAGGGGGCAAGGGGTCCAGCTGGCCCTTGGTCTACCGGGCCCCCTGGGCCAGTTGGCCGACCAGGAGAGAGGGGGGCCACGGGGCCAGTTGGCCCTCGGTCTGCCGGACCTCCTGGGCCTCAAGGACAGAAGGGGGCAATGGGGCCAGCTGGCCCTTGGTCTACCGGGCCCCCTGGGCCAGTTGGCCCTCCAGGGGAGAAGGGGGCCAGGGGGCCGATTGGCCGCCCGGGAGAAAAGTGTGAAATAGGACCAACTGCATTTGTTGCAGGTGAGGCATCCAATTTACTTTGACTAATCAACGTTTTGCACATTGGCTATAGGCTGTCTGACGATTCATCTAACAGTTGGTTGTCTTGTTTTTATCGTTGTATTTCTATTGCTCAGAAAGAGCTCTTTGGAAGGTTAACACATAGAAAACAACCTTTCCCCAGCTTGTCCCAAAAGAGGTTATCAGCAGTGGCGTGGAATCTGCTACAAGGCATTTGATACTCCTAAAAAATTCAGCAGAGCAACTGCGACCTGTCGTCAAGATGGTGGCACCCTCCCCATGCCCCGAGACGCAAAGACCAACGCTTTCCTGATGTCCCTGTTTAAGACCACTACAGGCAGTGACCGTAGATTCTGGCTCGGCCTCTCCGATGAGCGCCAGGAAGGAGTGTTTGAGTGGGCGGACGGCGCTCCCCTTGGAGCGTATGCCCCGTGGGATCTGGGACAACCACGCAAAGACCACATGCACGCCCAACTTGAAAACTGCGTATACATGACAACAAGTGGAAAGTGGGCCGACAAAGCTTGCTATTTCCCGTATTACGTCATTTGCCAAGTTATCCCAGGTACCCCAAGTAAATATTATTCCTTCTGATGAAAATAAAACATCATTCTTACATGGTTAATTTAGAGTTTGGAACTTGTCAAATGTTTCAACCATTATTGCAATGAGTACTTAAGTTGACAAATATTTTCACAATTCATTGATGGCAACTTTGTTGTCTCTAATGCAGGGTAACCAAGGAGGCAGGTTGAGAGCCCACTACCAATGTGGACTGTTCTTCGACCGTCTAACCAAATAAAATATGATTTAGATGTAAAACCTATATTCTTAACTGAGTGTTATTTCTTACCTACCTTATACTGTTTACTGACACAATTGTTGTTTTTAAACATTTAATAGAAATAATAAAATCATGATATATTATTACAGCGGTAACACCTTTAGTAGCCGACTGGCTTCAACACAAAGCGATTAAAACGATTACGTGTTCATATAATAAGTCTCGTCTGAGCACGTAGACAGGCAGGAGAAAATTTCATGTTTACAAATCTTGCAATCTCCCAAAAATTGACAAATTGCACATTGGATAATCTCCAGCCAGTCTGGTTTTTACCCCGTTGACAGACATCGTACCTTCTATCAATTCTACTTCATTTCACACGAGATGTATCATTGACACAGATACTGACATACAGGTGGTCTTTAATAGTCCGTGTTTGGTAAAGTTTTACCGCAAAGTTAATCCAGGTCGTTAGTCATTACAAGCATCCGTCATCAGTTTACACGCACCGTGGCATTTTTAAATCCTTCAATCAATATAGACATCGTACCAGAAATGGGTCAGCAAGTTTCTCGATCAATTGCTCTTTTATCGAGTGTTATATGGGCTAAGATGACTTGCTATCGGATATCAAAAACGGCAACACCAATCCGTAAATAATTTTATCAGGTCGGTGATTGACTGAATAACAAAGTTCTTTATTCACAACTCAACTATATGTTTACAAGAAACGACGTTTCGATGATCATCTGTCATCTTCATCAGGGCAATTCTGATTCACTGTGTACTGTAGCTAGGTGTTACTGGTTCACTGTGCACTGAAGCTAGGTGTTACTGGTTCACTGTGCACTGAAGCTAGGTGTTACTGGTTCACTGTACACTCAAGCTAGCTGTTACTGGTTCACTGTACACTCAAGCTAGGTCCTGCTATGTCCTATTTAATTATTTAATTATTTAATGTATTTGTATTTAATGTAATTGTCATTGGTAGTCCTTCGCAGTGCCCAGTGAACCAGCTACACCTAGCTTCAGTGCACAGTGAACACGTTAGAATTGCCCTGGCTCTTGTAAAAGACTGGTTCGGAATAGAACAAGCCGCAAATAGATTCCATTTTTATAAATAGGGCGGCCCATGTTTTGTGATGTAATTTTTATTTTATGTCTAGTGGTGAAGCCTGTTGCTTGAGTGCGTCACCACTAGTGTATTGTATTTTTGCATGTTGAAATAAAAAAAAAATAGGGCGGCGATAGTCAACACCTTAAAATAGTTTTTCTTCTAGATGTACTGCGTGTATCTCTTTTCTATATTATTTATTTATTTCATAAATATATTATGTACACACCCCCTGATTTTCTCAATGATGAACATCATAAGATGATGGACACATGATCATCATGATAAACTAATGAAGTGAAATTTGTCGATCACCTCTGTGTTGAATGGTGAACCACGACTCACTTCAAATGTATCGACTATCATAATAACAATATACCTGAGGTTTGCAACTCAAGCCATTGCTTCAACAGTTACAGATCAATTAGATATATCATCTCTGGCCCATGCCTTTTCATGCCAGCAGGTATATGACCTCAATTACGTACGTAGAGATTATATTTGGGGGTTAATGACATTAAAAATTGGTCACTCAACACTCTTGGCGATCTCTTACAATACCCTAGAGGCATTTATGTTTATAATAAAGCTATCAATCTAGCTTGAATGATAAGAAAATCCCGCCGAGAATTACCGTTTCTGTCTGGTGATGGATTTCTGGTGACAGGCCGTGAATATGCTGACATCAGGACAAGCACTCGACATTATGAGGAATAAAATACCGACCACTCCGGGCGTCCTTTGCTCTTGTATGTCATTTCTATTCACCTTCTATTAACCAGCAATGATCATTGTCTCTAATTTAAATGATGTAACATGAACTATGAATGGCATTTTACCTTGAAATTTATCTCAGTTGAACTCACTAGAAGCCTAAACCAAAAGTTAGGTTGTTAACCAGCATTTCAGGTTGCCGTCAACACTGGCTGTTTAATTTAGAAGGCCATGTTGCTGTGTATGCAAGAAAAAAATGATTTGCACCCCGAGAAAGTGGGCGTCTCGCACAGAAAATATGACTTGCGCTCCGAGGGTGCGACAGTGGGTATTTTGAACCCTGTAAACGTTACGTATTCTTTAGCCTCCATAGCATGCCAAAACTGGGGGGTTTGGGGGGTCTTCAGGGTCTTTGGGAGCTTTTATGTGCTATTTTCTGATTGCATATAGACAACATAGCCGGCCTGGTTTAATTACCCCCGTTTTTTGGCATGCACGGAGTCGGTATCTCAAAGGTAAATTGAACCGGGCTAATCAGAAAACAGCCGAAGACCACCAAACCCCCAGTTCTATAAGCCTGCTACGGAGGCTACTTATTGGTGTCCTGAAACGCACTCCGACAAGCAACCTTACCAACCCTAGAGCGAACACTATTACTTCACACGGTGTGACATCAATCGCTAGTGTTGATAGCATATTTGGTTTTCTTCATCCAAAACACCCATGGCTCGCCTGTAGCTTCTCCTTGTAATTGAATACCAATGGTTGAGTCCAGGTCAGACTACGTGGACACATTCGGGAGGAAAATAAAGAATAACACAGAGGTTCATCTTCCAACAGCTTCTGATATCTTGCTACCATCTTGTTAATCGTGATAATATCAAATGTTCCACACGTTTGCTATATTAGGTTATCCATAACCATCTCTACCCCTGTATATTCCCCCTTCTTGACTGAAGGCACAACAGCGAGGGACATGTTCTCTATGGTTAAGACTGATTCTCAGACCCCATGCGACCGAGGACCCTGAATTTTCCCGATGTTCCCTATTGTTTTATAATTCATCATCATCTTCAATACTGCTTAGCCCTCTAAAAAGAAGATTACTAGCAGCTGCGCATTAGTGACTGTGTGCAAAGTGCAAACAAAGGGTAAGGTAGGGGTGGACGTGGACAAGTGCACGGACAGGACAAGTGAAATCAGTGGTGCTAGTGTTACACATATTTACATATGTACAAGGACAGGGAGGCAGCTCAATGCAGCGAAGCCCGTCCCAGCTCTGCTTTGAACTGGGAGATGGACTTCGCCTCCGCCACACTGGGCTCAAGTTCATTCCACTCCTTGATGGTGCGAGGGAAGAACGAGAGCCTGTAATAGTTGTTCTTACTCGCGATTGTCTGCAGCTTTAAAGCGTGATTAGTGCGGCGGGAGCATCGAGCTGCCGGGACGAGACACGAGGTGTGGGGGACAGAGATGGTGTTGTGCAGGACTTTCAACATTGTAGTAAGCCTGGCCATTTTTCGGCGGTGTTGGAGCTCGAGTGATTTCCATCCCAGGTTACCTAGCATCTCAGTAACAGAGGCCGTGCGTCTGTAGTTGTTACATACGTACCTGGCAGCTCTACGCTGCACTGCCTCCATTCTGCTTACCTTATCAGAAGTATGGGGGTCCCAAACTGGGCAGGCGTACTCCAGTAATTATCCCTTCCTATTATTTTATAATAAGCCCCTCCTTAATGTTTGTAAACCTCTAGCAAAACCAGCATGGTTTGGACATATCCACTTGATATGAAGATTCATATTTTGTTGAAACTTTTTGGATGTAATCACACAGTAATTAATATTGTACAACGCATAAAAGTTAGTGGATCAGTGAATTAACACATAGGCAGAAGGGTGAAAACTACCTAGTCTCTACCAGACTAACTACGCTGGCTATATATAGGAGAATAATTGCCAGGGGAGTTTGGCCACCTTGTAGGTTTAATTGGCCGGAGGGAAATAAAGAAACTACCTCCCCCGCTGCCGGACTCCCTTGGCCAATTTTTACTCTCTTTTTTACCGAATTCTACGATCCGCATTCCCGTAGAAAAGCCTGGTGGAGGCTTCAAACTACCCATGGTGTGTGTAATCTCGATGGTTCTTCCCGGTAATTTACGCCGAGGGATTCTATCTCCTCCTCACAGCTGGAATTATCTTGAACCGGCTGCGTGGGCGTCGCGGAGCGGCCTGGAGTGGGGAAAGAATGCCGACATGTACGTGCGATGTGGGTGTGTTGTGCGCAACAGTGTCTCAACATCTGGGTACATTCGTCTGTAAGATACGTTTGACCTTATTATTTAAAAAGGCGGCTAACTTCAACAGCATTAAACCTCCAACAAAACGAATCTGTCAGACTCCATTCATCCGACATTTGATTTGTTAAACCTTTTTTTTTTCGAAATTGCTAACTTAGTAGTTAGTTTCTACATTGTCGTAGGCGGATTCAATCTTCGCCCAAGTAATTTCTTACGCACGGGAACCACTCAGGCGGACACGTTTTGTGCAGACATTTTACTATTTCCTTCTTATAGGAATGTTTCGTGAAGCAGTAAGAAGGTAGAAATAATATGATACCCAAGGGCAAGAAAATATTCTTACTAAGAATGGAAAGACCTCGTCGAATTCGGTAGATCTTAGAAGCTGCCTACTAGCTGTCACAATAAATGGCTGTGAGCTATAAGAATTGTGGATTCGTCTTTGGTAGAAGCGACGTTGGGCGGTAAGGAGAAATACTGCAAATGGTCAGACCCATCGTTTTACCAGCCCCAATACAACAGAGCAAAGTTTTTTTTCTATGTGACAGCGCATCTTTCCAGCGATGTGATTGAAATCAACCCCGTCAAAATTGCCCCGCGTGCGGTAAAGGGCCTTGTACATGTATAATATTAGTGTACAAATTGTCAGGAATATTCTTATATATCAGTTTCAGTTTATTGCACAAAGAAGCATAATGCAGCCAGATGCCTTGATTGCACGTGCATTTGCATACTGTCAGTAAAATACATTGGAATAGAAAACATTGACTAAATTAGTTTTTAAAACAGCTACGAATCTAAAATTACTCAAAACAAAGTGGTACGTACATATCTAAAATAGCTCTAAGCATAGTAATACGACGTCGACGTCGATAAATTAAGTATGAAAACCTGTCGTAGAATGGATATTTGACTACGTACAACGTCGTTTTACAATTGCAACTCAGTTTCAACATATAAGCCCCATTTCAAAGATTCATCTACATTCTGGACGATGTATTTCGTATGGGCATGGAGTAAACAACATACTATTAGATTTTGTATTGCCGCTGTTTTTAAAATCTAACGAAACCGCTGACATTTTGTTTTCTATTTGATCACCTACTTCAAAGTAGTACTCCTGCGTCTGCACAAATGTAGTTACTTCTTCAATCTCCTCTATAGCCAGCGGCGTTTACTCCAGAACACACCATCAATGACATACATTTATTACATTTACGACTGGGCTTCTTTTGAACACTGCTTTGAGAAAGAAAACATTTCTAAGAAATCCTCTCCTTAAAAGCACAGATGCAAATATGAAACAATTACACTGGGTAGGAACACAGTTCCTCGTGCATTAGAAATACAGGCTGGATTACGAAAAAAATGAGAGGTTCCATGGTTTCCAACACTGAACACCTTTCTTTTGATAGATAGTATTATCTTCACAGCAGTCCCAACCTGGCAATTTAGCAAAAGATATTTTGGTACCAGAAGCCACAGGGTAGCCCGTAACTGCGTACAAAAGATCTCATCTTCATTTCATGTTGTTTGTCCGCTGTGTCCCCAGGCAGAGTTGGTGGATGAAAAGCACGCCTCACGCGTCATTGTGATTAAAACTTGCGGCGGCAAATTACGGTTATACGCAACAAGTCACGTAGGCTGACGCTCGGGGTTTGATTTGAGTTACTGTTTTACTGCGCTTTGACTTGGCGGCAACAGATAGTCGGCTGGTGTGTTGGTGTCTCCGAGGACGCAACTTTGTGGATCTGAGCAACAGAGAGAGGTAAGATGGGTTTCATTTTGCACAACATACGAATCCACTTACTGACAGCTGTGTTTATGACACACGAGAACAGGAGACGTCTGCGTCAGCCATATAAGGATATAAGCAAAACGGGCAGATTGTTTACCCTGACGAATAAGGGTGTCGGTGAAATCTCTCATCCCCTGCCATTCTGAAGGCTGTCAAAGCACGTTTACCTTTTGTAACGAGTCCAAAAGGCAACTTCTAAGCACTGAGCTAAGTTTGTGGGAGGTCTGGGCGACTATGCTGGGATATGGCCGCTGAATGTTAACGTTGGTTTTGAATGCCTTCCCGAATCGTGCCCCTGTTGAATGTTTAGTTCTAGATCTATTGCCATCATGGCAAAAATTACAGGTTAAATAAAAGACTGATTTCCAGTGAAAAACACAGGCTTTGATAAGGTCTCCATACGTGTATAGCGTAGAACCTACACCCTGTGGTTGGTTGCCGGCTAAATTAGATTGGATTTCAACGGGGTGTCTGTTTAATGTACCGCAGACTTTGTTACGTCTACCTGTTTTTCTAGAGGCACATCAATTGAAGTATGACGTGAATGAAAATCATCAGTTGACGCGAATGAAAACATGATTTGAGACCGCATGCTTTCCTTTTTCTTTTCATAGGTTACCACTGGCAACAGTTATCAGTGACGTGTTTTTCTCGGGGTATATTCGTGGACACCTGAACAGGTTGGGGTACTCCTGTGAGACGGTGGCTGAGAGGCGTTTGGAACTGACAGCGTCGATTTGCCAATTCTGCATCCTTCTGACGCGGTAAACAAAAACAGCGACAAGCAACTGAGCTCCATCTTTAACACTGGTTTTGCAGGCGGAAGCATCGGATAAAGGTAAAGCATGCATCCTTATGATAAAGATGTGGACCCATTCGTTAAGGGTGTTAATTATGCAGCCATGTGAATTAAAACCCTGCGTAATTGGGTAATGTTACGTAGAGACCAGTGTTGATGCATGTATTGCCACGCACCTTATTTCGCTCGACAAACAGGGATTTTACTATGTGTGTCTTTCTCGATTGATCTTATTAAGATTGGATGGGAAAAGCTTGAAATATGATGCTGCACGAAGATTGGGGATGTAAATGTAAATTCAGAGAACCGTTAGCCACCAAAACGGTAAACATCATCCACGGACCAAGCCTTGACTATTCATAGAGGATGTTTTTCTGTGGCAGGACAACAGAGCTGGATTTTCAAAGTAGATTTTCGTGTATTTCTTTTACACTAGAAATTAATTTGAATTCACCCTATCCCTATCCCATAGTACACTGACATCTGTGAGGCAAAATGCGATGTCCCTGATCAGATATGTCAGATCCCCACGTCCAAAATATTTTTTGCATCGCCGCCATAAAATTGCACCGGAACATTGTCTTAAAATTTTACGCTCTAGGTGGCAATAGTGCAGATTGGCACATTGGCGCACCAAATCCGTGGTGTGTTTGGCACACATTTAGACAGATCAGCCAAAGAGGCTCGGTGGGCGTCACTCCACCGTCAGGGAAGGGAATGTTGTGTAAAGCATTTCCCGAGAGTACAACGTCGGGGCATGATGAGTATCGAACCCGGGACCTACTGCTCTAACCGTTGCGCCACCGACGCCGAAACATTGCCTTTAACTTTGGCAACCCCTTGTTCTTATCAACACACAGATTTTCGTCCAAGCAATGGAAGAAGAGGGGAACATGACCAACGACACATTCGTGGAACTAGGAGTATCGTTCTTCAAACACGACCTGGGCGTGTCACTGGTGTTTATCGGCGCGTATGCCGTGCTGTGCCTGCTGTGCGTGGTCGGGAACGGCACGGTACGCTTATTTGTTTGTGTGCTTGTTTGTTTGTTTGTTTGTTTGTTGTTTTGGCCTCCTAAGCAGATTTCTGAGGCGGCGTTATTTTTGGGGGGAGCAATGCGGGTTATGCCGCGGAGAGAAGGTTTTGTCGCCGAAGGACTTTGCCAGGGAGAGACGGTTTCGCCGCCGCCACACATCCTTTCCAAACGTTGTTGTGTTTTTAATAGCGCTTTATGGATCAGGTCGCCGAGTGCAAGCAGACTTCTCAGGCGGCGAACCCGTCTCTCCTCGGCAAACTCCTTTTGCGGCAAAATCTACCCCCCGTGGCATAACTCACGTCGCTTCTCGAAAAGAATAATGCCGTCGCCTCAGAAGTCTGCGAAGAAGGCTGGTTTATGTAAGGAACCTCCAATTAGGGACAATACAACCACTACTCTTCGAATTCCTGGAGTCCTCATAGTCTTAACTACATTGTAAAATACAAACATTACAACTATTATTTACATTCACTTCTTACTGCATTAAAAGAAAACTGTCTTACTATCATTTGCCATCTAATAATAATAATGATAATACAATAAACGTCATTAAAGTAACTTTGCACATTTATAAACTTTGCACAATATTACATAAACATTAGGCTAAATTATCATTTGCTATGTTTTGGAGAGTAAATTAAGCATCAATTAATAACAACGTTACAGTCCGGTCTTACGCAGCTTGTACTTACATGTACAAAATCGGTGTGTTACGTCTATAAATGTGGTTTACCGATTATGCGAAACAAACAAAACAAAATATCATATTCAGTCAAGTTAAAAATATGATGTTCCTGTGCTAGGTGTGCTGCCTGGTGGCGCAGAACAAGAAACTCCACACCGTCACCAACTTCTTCATCCTCAACCTGGCCGTGGCGGACCTCATGATAGCCGTCTTCTGTATGCCCATCACCCTGGTCAACAACATCGTCACAGGTACATGTAGGTCCGGTCTAACACACCACACGACACACAGGAAATTATAAAAAACATGGATAAATTGACAACATACGGCTGCCCAAAGATAATTTCCGTCTCGTATATATACGGTCGTTGCCAGACCTCATGATAGCCGTCTTCTGTACGCCCATCACCCTGGTCAACAATATCGTCACGGGTAGGTCCGCCCACAGATTTTTGATTGATTTGATTCCTTGAAATTGTATTATACACGTGAGATATAGGCAGCTGTTGCTGGTGTTGTGTCCCACACATTGAATCAAATACAGGACATACAATACTCATTTTCACTTGAATTGTGAGGAAAGTCGTGTTAAGTGCCTTTCAAGGGCACAAGACCAGTGGCGTGTCATCAGGACTCGAACCCGGGACCTCTTGGTACCGAGTCGAGCACTCTGCCGTTACGCCACACGTCCCCACTTTCATAAGGTGTATACTCATACCCAGTCTTGTTTTCTCCTCCCCCAGAGTGGGTGTTTGGTGACGTCGTGTGTAAGCTGACTCCCTTCATGCAGGGTCTGTCCGTGGGCGCCTCCGTCTTCACTCTGGTTGCCATAGCAACCGATCGGTGAGTCATTTTAAGTGTAAAGTTGGAACGTTTGATCATTATATATTTTGTCTTTATTTGCAAACTCATGCCCTTACAGAGTCCACACTATACTATTTATAAGCTGTATAATAGATCATAAATATGTAATAACTATATATATCATTGAATGGATAGTATATTTCAGAGATCATTATGTTTGCTTAATATCAATAATGTGTGTTAACATGTTTAGGAGAAAGAGGCACACTTTAAGCCCCTGTCAGCTCCTGTCACATACTCACAACCTTCCCACGAATTTGTTCCCGAACACCGGCCGACTGCCCCAGATCCGGCTGACGTTCGGGGGCACTCTGATCAGATTTAGGACATGCCTACCTTCCTATTCAAATCGAATTTGCTTCAAATTTGGCGCCCCTAATACTGCTGACCCAGCCGACTTTGCGGCGACCTACTCCATGGCTATGTACAGGTCAACAGATGCTTATTCTGCAATATCTCTTTTACCCTAGCTACGTCGCCATCGTCTGGGCGCCCAACGGCAGGATCCGTGAGAAGCAGGCCGGAGTCATCATCGCGGTGGTGTGGATGCTGGCTGCGGTCATCATGGCGCCTCATGCCGCCGTCATGGAGGCCAGACCGCACCCCTACATACAGGGACACGCCTGCCAGGTGGGTAACAGAGGTTGTGTGGCGTAATGGTAGAGTGTTCAACTCGAAACCAAGAGGTCCCGGGTTCGAGTCCTGCCAGGCTACCTTTCTTACAACTTTCCTCACTTCCCTCAGGTGAAAATGAGCATCTGTGTTGGCGGCGGCACAGAAATAAGTTGAAAAACTGAAGCGGTTACATGTTGGAATAAAAAAGGGACATGCCTGCCAGGTATATGACGGGGTTTGTAATCAAAGGCAAAAATGTCTGTCTCAGCTCCGCTGCGGTACTGTCTTTCATCGCTATTCTTAGCCATTCGCAACATGCATTGGAAGGATGTATAATGATATAGACGATGCACGTTCTTCCCCATGTGGGGCTAAATGCAGTAGTTTCACATGAAGCTTTTAGGTAAAGAATCATGAACAGTAATACATGAACAGTCGGAGAAACATAACAACTAAAGCTATGCTGCACTACATATATCGTTTACAAAACAGTCGAACGTATAAGGCTATGCAATCATTAAATCAATCATTTATCATGTCTCTCCCAACCTATCAAAAGAGGTGTACGAACACAAGAGTTTTTGTTGTACGGGATGATTGTCACAGGATGTCATAATATATACAGTGTAAGTGCGTCTTTTACTGACTGTTTAGGGTGTGTAGCTACGTATGTACGTTCTTGGTTTGTTACCTTAATTGTAACTGTAAAATGAATCAGGTAGAGATTGCATAATGGTGTTTGTTGTGGCCTGAAAGGGACGGTTAACAAAAGAATAACATTGGTTACGCTTTATTGTTATATATAAAGCTCCATTGTGATATAGATGATTTTTTTGTAACCGTTGTGTATTTCATTGCTGTTTGTGCCCTTGTTCCTACAGGAGTACTGGCCAGATGTGAGGTACCGTATGGCGTATACCGTCGTCCTGTTCCTCCTGCTTTTCGTCGCTCCACTGCTGACCGTCGCCTTCATGTACACCAAAGTCACCAAACAGACCTGCAAGAAACCCCCAACATGCCCTCACACCCTCCAGCCCGACAGTGGCGCCAGACAGCTGCCGTCTTGGACTGACATCTTCCGTTTCGTTAGAAAGAACTCCTCTGCTGTCGACAGAGATTACAGAAAAGCTAGAGTTGTGAGGATGTTACTTGTCGTTGTTATCTTCTTTGCAATCTGCTGGTTGCCGCTGCATTTGGTCACTCTGGTTGGTGACTTTGCCAATCTCACGTACGACCAGCTTGTGTTTGTGTACGATTATCTGTACCCAGTGGCCCACTTCCTAGCCTACTTCAACAGTTGTGTCAATCCGATCGTGTATGGGTACTATAACAAGAACTTCACACGAATGTGGAGGGAAATGAACGGCACTGTGCGTCTGTGTTGTTGTAAGAACGAAAAGTCGTCTCGGAGTGAAAACATTCCCCTGACCAGTTTCCGCACCACAGCCGTAGTGAACACGCAGAATGTGAGTCCATATCGCGTGGCAGAGCTAGCCAGGATGGCGAACAGGCTTTAAACACTTTCCCATTAATTCTGGGGGAAAAGTGTTATTATACAGTGTGTTATGTTGTACATAATACGTAATACATGTAACGACAGTAGTACTAATGGCAAGTCAACAGAATTTTGTGACAGTATCACTCATCTTGTGTGTTTGACAGAACTGAATAAAGATGATTTTAACTCTCTCAGTCGGCCATGATTCCTTGAAAAGGTATTGAAATTCTTCATGTAGTTATGAATTTTTCTCCGTAGTTATAGAAAGTAGTGACATATACGTGTAGATCTAGATCTCTATCACCCGAGAAAATGTTAATTTAGAGAGCAATCGGGCCCCCTTGAAAAATATTTCTAAAAATCGTCCATATTATGGTGCCTGATTAAAGCAATACAATGCAATACAATACAATACATGTTCTCAGATCTTCTTCTACTTGTTTGAAATTTTTTCAAAGAAAGGTAACTTGTGTCTGGAGGCATAATTATGTCAGGGATTGGCAATTAGTATTACACACTGAACTGGAGCCTCAAAGGCTTTATAACGCCCGTTTAATGGGAAACCTTGTCAGCATGCAGAGCAATATAGTATTTGTGTGAAACGTGCTTAAACGGAGCCAATGCAATATTTTAGGACAGCAAAACCAAGCATATTCCGGATAAGGAAATCTGCCTGGTGTTGACATAATTTCTTACTTGAAGCGTTTAAATATACCCAAAACACGCTATGTGAGAAGGATTTTGGGGTACCACCCGTAAATAACTAGAACCAGCCTACGATAGAAGCAATCGTTTGACCCAAATTTTAGCATTCATCTCATATCAACCTACTTTTTCTGAATAATGAAACACCAATATTAAACTCAGAGCATTCCACGTCGCAACAAAAGGTCTCACAGCAACTACATGTACCTAATATAATTATATAAAAACACGGTAGGATACCACAACCTCTCACTCTTGGGGTTCCTTCATGATTTCGTCGGCATGATAAAAAATAATCAAGCATCTTCACTTCATTCATACGCCCTCAGGCTATTAATCTCTTACGTCATGGAAGGATAGACATCTAAGTAATAAGATTCGCCATATAACAGTTACTCAAGCAACTGGATACTAGTATAATTTTGGAAACGGTTAGACGTTTCAGGTAGTATCCACAAGTGTCAAGTGTTGGAAACTGTAACAAACACAACCTTTTGCTCTTCCAGCAAGGTACCAAACAAGCATCTTAACATTGGTTAAGCCCTGGACTAAGAAAATTAAAACCCTGGTGCTGGCTAACATTAACTGAAACACTGCATGAAACATATTATACAACAGGCTACAAGAACACTCCTGGGGTTCTTACATCAAGGACAATCGAGCATCTTAATATTGGTGGCCCTGGGCAATTCTAGCATTAACGTCAAGACACTGCAAAGACTTTAAACACGGAACACGGAAGACTACCAGACTACCTCCAGGGGTTCTTCGCGTCAGTGATTCTGTCAAAATTACAACTAAGCATCTAAACATCACCGGCACTCAGGCCGCCTACATTAACGTCATAGTACATAATGTACATTTGGACACCGCAGTTTTTACTTACAAGGAACGCAGCACGCTACCAGAAAGTCTTTCCATCACCAAAGTGTATATAATCAAGGTGTCTTAGTAACCATGCATACCCCGGGCAGTGTTGGGAGTGTAATTAGGCCACAGCAAGTAAATTTCATGGATGACATCCTCCGCAGATTCTAATCTAATGTGAAGGTCGAAACAACAAGACGGGCAAAAACCAATATTCTTCCATTTTCAAATTTTGAGGTAATAGGCCTTGTTCAAAAAGAGTTGAGGTGACAAAACATGATACTACAACCAACAGGTCTTTTATTCTTGTATTCAACAGTATCGTCTGACTTGTAGATGTGTATATACCTCAATTAACTAGAACAATTGTAGAAAATAGCTTGTCGTACCATCATAAGTAGCTAGGATTTCTATAAATGTGGTGAAGATGGAGTGTTTGAAGAAGTGTTACGCTGGATGGTGGTTATACTGGCTAATCATTTAGAAATTGTCATTCTTCTTCTTAAATGACAGAACGATGCATTTTACCCGGGGCAAGAACCGTACCTCTTGTGTGTGTTTCTTAACCCTAAAGCTTCACACAAGATCTCCCCCGACCTCGCCCCCGAACACCAGCCAACCCAGCTCGGCTCAGCTATCTGACTAGAATAAGGTCAGGCCTACCTTTCTATACGCACCAATTCGAATCTGCAGGGTCAAATTATTTGAGTCAAATTTCACCCTCGAACAATTAGGCCCCGACTACAGCTGACTTACTCCCAGGGGATCTCGAAAACCGGTCGAACACCAGCCAACAATGGACACATTTCTGCATGGAGACAGCCCTGCATAGTACACCAGCCACCAGCGAATGTTTAAAACATGTTGAAACATTCAACTGACGCAACTGAATAGTAGCAGACCTAACCGAACACCAGCCGACCACAGCCGAACTTGCTGCCGACCTACCACGGTTGAGAGTTCATCCAGTTTTCGGGAGGCCATATTCCTTAATGTGTGACGTGGCATTAGGATTCGGGATGTTTACTGTGCAGACAACTTCCCGCATCACAACAGACTTCTAATAACTTTCCACGTCACATCGGGCTACAGCAGGGGTTAGTGCAGTTTTCAGTTGACGTTCAAAGCAAAATAAGAACAACGGTAGCAAACTTGGACATGGCGACATCAACCTGTGACAACCCAGACCCAGAAGAGACCAATTTTGCGAAGACTTACCTGAAATCCGGAGCCGGGGTGCTGTACGCTCTGCTGAACACAGCATTCGTCGCCTTCGCGTCACAGTTTATGGCCCTGAGTAGCCAAGCAGGCATACCTGGGCTGCAGCTGACCTTCCTCATCAAACTTGTACAACTTCTTGTCGTCCTCGTCGCCCTGCCATTCTTTAGACCAAAGCTGACGACTGAAAACGGACGACAAACTCTTCTCTTGGTGCTGTCGACAATTATTGAGAACCTTGGAACGGTCTTCTTGTATCTATCATTTGTTTTCGTTGTCCCTGGGATCGCCTTCGGTATCATACGAGGATCGTTGCCCTTCGTCTCGGCCTGTATTGGATTCTTGTTCCTGAAGGAAACTGTGGGCGCCGTGGATTGTTTCGGAATCGTCTTCACTGTAGCCGGGGTGATAGTTGTGGCAGTTGGAATGATCACGGAGAACACTTCGTCCACGCGGCGTCTGACTACGTCCATTCTTCTTCCACTCGCGACAACTTTCAGCAAGGGGTCAGGTATCGTCATCGCACGTTCGCTTATCGGTGTACAGGAGGTCTCTGTTTTAACACTGCTCTTCTACGCCAACCTGGCAGGAGCGGTGGTGCTACTTGGGCTGATGTACACGACAGAGACCCCACCACTTTGGTCGATGTCCGCACAGACGATGGGCTACGTTATCGGATTGTGCCTGTGTGCCTGCTGCGGACAATTTGCAACAAAACTCGCACTGAAGACGGAAAAAGCGGGAATTACTGCCACAATTAAGACTTTCACCATACCTCTTGCAGTGCTGTTGGACTACCTTTTTCTATCGGAGTTTCCCAGTCCGGTCAAGTTTGGCGGTGTTGTACTTATAGTGTTCGGTACCGGTGTAGTTGCGGTGTATACATGGTGGCGGCATCGCAAAGAGACTCTTCACAAAAATCTCATGGAGAGATTAAACTTTGGTAATTAAGTCTTTCCGCGCAATCAGTCTATTTATTTATTTATTTATTTATTTATTTATTAGAATTTTCCAGACAACTGGGTGGGAGGACAAAACAGGCCTAGGTGAATATACACCTTTGCTAGTTGTCCTCCAAATGTGTTCCTGTATCCAAACATACAGCCTGATGATTGTCTGTATGGGAACTGCATGCAAATGTCTTTGTTAACACCAAAATTCAGAAACACTGGTGACGCGTTTAGCATTACGCAAATAAAGGCTACGCTGTGGTGGTATGAACCATAGACAGGAACATTGCAAGTCTTTTTTGGATATTTTTTCTATCAAGCTAAATTATTGATTAAACTGTAGACCTTTTCAATGGGGTGGCAGATTTTATTTATCTCTGTATGACAAAAGTACTGAATGAACTGTAGATATTCTACAATGTGTTAGTATATTATCAGGTGTTATTAGATTTTATCCACTTGATTGATTAAAAAAGGGAACGGCATGGTTCTTGTCAGGACTGTTTCACAATTTTTTTCTAAAGTCGTCTATCTATGATATCGACTACTTGGTTATAGACGCGCTATCATCACAATATTATTGAGTTCCTTTTTCGACTTCCAAAAATTTGTATTCACTTTATTTACATATCAATCAATAGGTTGTGCTTATAAACCTGCATTTCCCCTCTGGTCTCTCAGTCACTGACGAAAGCTAGTGGATACTAGCTGAAACGTCTGACGTTTTCAAAATCATATCCAGTTGCTTGAGTAACTACTTTTTGGCGTATTGAGTCATTGGTTCGAACATAGTCATTACTTTAATGCTAAGTGACAGCTGTTAAGTTTTACCGCTACACCAGAAGTTTTGCGCACGTGTTTTCCAAAGAGTTGGAGCTACACTGAACACACAGATGGGCCCTGCTGCTCCTCATGATCCTCCAGCCGCTCTTCTCGCATGAAATACACCAGTCTTTCCCCGCAGTGTCAGGTGGGTCGTGCAGGGCACAGAAATGTACCTGTCGTAAAGGGAAAAACAAAGCCTTATATATAGTCTGGTTATAGGTTTTGACATCTTCTAGAGGTGATAGTCACCTGTTACGTTCTACAAATGTCCGGTCTAGACATACAGTACAAAATCTCTCTGTAAAAGTCGAGAAACTCAGGTGGTCTTTGTTTGAGCATATTCTCAGAATGCCACAAGACACACCTGCACAAAAAGCCCTGGAATTGTCATTACTAGGCTCCAGCAGATATAAAGCTCGCAAAGGGAGACACTGCGCGAGGGCAGCATCCGGAAAAGAATAACAAATGACCAAAGTTAGCTGTACATGTAACCAGCTTTACCTGTTGGCTGAGGGACTTGGTTGTCGTTCTTAGTCCACAGATAACGCAAACGTCCCTGTTCGGTTCCTTGGAAGGGGTGAAGACCTTGTTTTTAGTCGCACACATTCGGCACAACACGACGGCGGTTCTGAGGTCCACCTTTTCGGCGGGAATCCTGTTAGAACATCTCACGCCCTGGTTGCAAAAGACAAGACTGGACCTATAATATAACACTATGTGATACGTGTACGTCGGTGAATGTTAGACATCCATTCCATATAATGAGATGCACAAGAAACCAGTTTCAGAACAACTGGATAGATTTTGGAAACTGTCAGACGAAATACAACAAGTAGCGTCCACTAGTTTTCGGAATCTGTAGTTGGACACGTATTTATTTAGAAATTATGAACTATGCTACTTGAGACGTCTAACATCTTTCAATATATACCTATTTGCTTGAATAACCGTTTTCTTGTGTATATGACACGTGGTTATTTTTAACCTTCGAGTAAACGTTTTATATAGATGCAAACAAACAAATGGTAAACTTAAGGAATTTCAAAATACTCTATGGTAGGTATCAATTGATATATTTGCTATTGATTATGCTCCAAACGCTATTAATGTATCATACCCCATTACACTTATGTATATCATATTGTCATTGTGTTCCTATTTAAAAAGAAATGTTTCATTGCTTACATTCATGTACGTCTGTCTGTCCGCTGCAGTCATGTATAAGGATCTGGGATCCTTCTGTAAGAATGCCACAAGTTTGCCGTTCATCCCAGTCCTGTGTAGCTGGTACGGCAGCTTCCTGGCCACAAGCTGCTGGACGGCACACTGACTCTGGTAGTAGTCTGCCAGGGCGAGGTGGTAATTTTGGCGGACTGCGGGGGTCTTGATAAGGCTTTCCTGTACAACCTGTATGTACAACAAAGACATCAGCACCAAGTTAAAGATGAATTATGTACCATCAGGACGATACAACAAGGTTTTTTTTTTACAAAAAAACGTAATTTCTTTACAAAATAAGCTTAATCAACTCTACTCCATTGCAAATAGGTGCCGTCCAGGAAGTGGACGACCCATACCCAAAATCTGACGCCTTGCGAGTGTGCATATCTGCATAAAACCACAGCTGTCAGCCGTATTTGTTTACATTTTGGTATAGTTTGTGGTGGTACCACAAACTGAGTGCGCCTCTTGTGGGTAGCACTAACGGCCCACGGCCAGTGTTTGGGAGGCTATATTCGACTTTGTCTGACAGGGGCTTTACAAAGTTGTAATTATAAAACTCATTTGTTTACCTTGCTGATAGAATGATGGAAGAACCCCAGCACGGGAAGGTTCTGGTAGCCGGCCGTGTTTCTCAGGAAACGTCTCAGGCTCCTGAGCACGTGACCCCAGGTGAGCGCAGGTAAGGGCGTGGCTGTTTCAGGGTTGCCTAGCAACATCTGTAACTCTGACTCCTGGAGACCGAGCTGGGAGCACTCAATCAGACACAGCATCTGTAATACATATAATCAAATCAAACTTTATTGCCTAATGACAATAACTGGTACAATATATGGGAAAGAATAAACAACGAGGGTAGATATACGAACTATACAAAAATACAATTCTAACAAAGCTAATCCATACAATACCCTTTTTCGAAAGGTGGTAATGTTTATAGGGGACCAATGGTAAAACAATGTCTGTGTTGAGCAAGATCTAAAAATACAGAGACCATCATTTCTACAATCTCAAATTTTTTTTTTACCTTTTCCACACAGCCAGTGTCGTCTTCCTTCACGACTCGAGTAATGCAGGTGTGCATCAGACCCTCCATGGAGTCAGGAAGGGCTTTGATCTTTTCAGTCAGCTGGAGAAATGTCACAAAAATTAGAAGAATGTCTGATTTTACAAATTCACTCTTCTTGCTTAGTAAGTAGAATTTTAGACACTGTCACCCCTCCACAGAAACAGTTGCGGTCAAAATATGTTAATTGGTCGGCTCTACTGTTCGGCTGCGCCAGCCGAATATGTTTCAAAATGTTTAAAACATGGGAGGAGGAGATTGGACCATGGTTGGCTTGTGGTTGTCTGGTGTTCGGGAGTAGATTGGGGCGTGGGTGGTATTTGACTCAGACTGCTCTGGCCAGACTGCTCCCGAACTTCAGCCAACCTTGGTCGGTTGGTGGTCGGGGGAAGGTTCTAAATGCTGTTCAGTACCAAGGTGGCGAGGGTACAGTATAGCACATAGGGGTGGAAGGCTGTTCAGTACCAAGGTGGCGAGGGTACAGTATAGCACATAGGGGTGGAAGGCTGTTCAGTACCAAGGTGGCGAGGGTACAGTATAGCACATAGGGGTGGAAGGCTGTTCAGTACCAAGGTGGCGAGGGTACAGTATAGCACATAGGGGTGGAAGGCTGTTCAGTACCAAGGTGGCGAGGGTACAGTATAGCACATAGGGGTGGAAGGCTGTTCAGTACCAAGGTGGCGAGGGTACAGTATAGCACATAGGGGTGGAAGGCTGTTCGGTACCAAGGTGTGGAGGGGTTAATTTACCCTGTTGAAGTCTCCAAACACCCTCAGCTCCTCACACGCCAGGGCAAGCCACACAGGGTTCCCCGCACCTGCGGAGGACGTCAGCAGTTCCAACTGCTCATCGTCCAAGATCTGAATACGGGGAAAATCATGTTGTTAGTAGACTATGTATACCTTTGAACCTACGAACATTCGAATGAACGAATAAATGAATTAATTTATTGCATATTCATCCCCATTGATGCTAAATGCAGTTAGCTACAAGAGAGTAATAGGGAACTATGCGTGTTCTCGCGGCGCGGGACTAGGTCACTCCGTGATCAAGATGTACAGTAGACATAAAAAAATTTGGAGGAACGTGTTAACTTTCTACCTTTCATGAATTCAAAACAATCACTGATTGATGAATGTTCTACTTACTGTTAATCTTATGTGACTGATGAACCTCTTCTACGAACTATGCTATGTTTCAGCCATACCTATTATTTACATGCTTGCTATCTCTTCTCAGAATCCCCCTTCTCTTAGTAAGTAATAATTGCATAGTCACTTCTTTATCTGCCTATTAATACATGTCTACTGAAAAAGTACATAACCTTGTTATATTCCTTGAAATATGTCGTCGCGATGTTGCGTCTTGCCTGCTGATCGAGATCAAGCAGCTTCATTTCACACGGGGGTGGCTGTCGTTCTCTCAACTTCCGCAAGGTGGCGGGATCCATACTGGTGCTGACGATGCACCTCACGTTGCCTGGCAACACTGGCGGAAGCCATTCGAGGTGAGCCGGCGTCTTGCTGTCTGATATCTGCAATAACACAGTCGAAGATTAAAATGTCCAGACTATGCATGATGTACAAAATGACAAACTGGTGGACGTACCAACCACTAGAAGTATCTGATACCAGCCCAGGAAAGAACAAGAAACAGTCAAAATTTAGAGTTATCAACCATGAATTGATGTATAAAAAATTGTATGTTCCAAGAACTACCGTAGAGTGGAACCTATGCTGTACGTAATTATTCAATATGTAATACTAAAAGTATTAGTAATACAGTTCATTAGCAATGACAATGTATATTACGTTAGTACAATACATAGAGTAGTTACACGTTGTAACTGTACTTACCTGGTTAACAGCGTCAATCAAAATGATGAGTCTGTTTTCGTTCAGGGGACATTTGTTCACACACAGATAATTGGAAGGTTTCCTATGCAACGTGACCCGTTTGAAGTTGACGAACTCTCCTGCGATGTCACCTACGGAACGATGAAAGCATCACACTTCATGAGAGGTGTTAAAGTTTTCTTTAAGCGAGAAACGGCGCCAGTATCTAGTATATATTTTCTCTGCGTGTTTTAACCACTCTTTATGGAGTGAGCCCTGCATATCAAGCCGTGACGTGATAACTTCCTAGTAATGTCTCAACCGCCTCAGAACAGGCAAAAGAAGATGCGAGACCCTCATGGAAAAGAGGGGTCTCGTCCCAGATGGGATGCGATTGCGAGCAGGAGCAGACCATGAGGCACCTCCTTGTCTGCCCCCTCCTGCATGAATCCTAACCCTAACCCCCAGAGGAAAGGGCGTGTTTAGAGTACTAAAACAGTAGAGGTTAGCAGACAGGAGTGGTGACATGAGAAGAAGAAGAAGATGCAGTCTAGTAAAGTGGCAGTTTCGTGGGTTTACAAGGTGCTTCTGAATAGATGTACACGTTAGACGTGCCTTGTCATACAGAATTTACCCGCTCAAACAGGGTGCAGGCAGACAGTTTTGGACGGTTTTGCACCCTATACATATAAATGTGGGGGTAGGATAACATTGTGAACAGATTGAATAAAACTTTTAGTATTTAAGGACAGTTGAATGCTACTCTCACATTGGTCGATTTCCATGTGTCCACGCAGGCGCAGAAGGATGTTATCAACATCGAGTGACTCAGGACAGCAGCCAACAAAATGGTAGAGAAAATTCTTCGTTTTCTGTCAACACAACATCAACATGTAGTTTGAATGATCTTGGAGAGGAGATAGGCGCCGCCAAGATTATAAGCCTGAGGAGTCATCGTGACAAGTCCAGACATGCTGCTGGCTGTCATGATGCCCCTACGGCCGTGAAGGCTATGGGACTTACATACATTGAATGATCAGAGAAAGTATAAATCCCAACAATATATAATGATGTAGAAAGGTGAAGTTATTACGAGGGAAAGCATTACAGTTTTCATTTATGTAGTAATATTCTCAGCTAGACCATAGGAAGATAAACATTCTGCATTTGCAAATATTGCATTTCTATATATAGCTAGTTCCGTATCATTTTGTACTAGTTCCAACTTAACTTTTTTGCAAGGACGTTCCTATTTGTTTCACAAGTGCCCCCTTTCACACAAATAATTCGTTGACGTCTGCTTGCAAACCAAAGTATATGGTGGTCTCCTTATTACCTGGCCAAACCACCTATAGTAAGTCTTATAATTACTCCGTGAAGGAGGTCAGGACCTCCGGACGGAGTGTTGTAATCGGCTGATTTTTCATGTTCGCAGTCAAAACACTGGGTTCTCTTTGTGTAATCGGCACGCAATTTTATACGCCGTCTGCGGGCATGCCCGTGTTGATGCACGAATGTGTATTTTTGCCGTTGCTGCTTTCGCGGTCAATGTAATATCGCAGACGCACCCCTACAATTACGAGGCGAATTGGAATGGTCCAGAAAAACGCGTTGTTTGGAATAGCAGTGGGGTTCAAAAAAGTTCATGCAGATACGGGGTGGTTTTTATAAGTGGTTCCAGATGTTTTTGCCCATGGTTAAGAGATGCCAAGTTTTTTGGAAGATGTTCGCAGCCAAAACGCATTCTTCCGTACGTCGCATTTCTGTGTAATTTCGCATGTGGTGTTGCATTATGTCCGGGATGATGCACGTCTTTTTATTTTACCGTAGCTGTTTTGATATTGGAGTAAATGCTTATTTTCGAAACATCCCCATTTCTTTGAAATGGTTTCGTCCGTTTATGCAACTGTTACTGCGCTAATGACGACCAGTCGCGCTGTCCTGATACACCGCGAATGTGCGAGTGTTCCCTGTAGACAGTCCCGGGAGTCATTTTTTTGCACATTCCAGGAGCCAAACCAAAATACGTTCATGAACCGAGTCCAAAAAACCGAAACGTGAAAATCGGATGATCGGACCTGATGTACATTTCTCTTTCTATAGATTGTACACACAATACACACATCTTTAGATAATCTGGCCATGGCAGGTTAAAAAAAAAAGTAACCCTGAATCATACTAGATTAGCGTAAATGCATGTTAATGCGTTCAAAACAAGAAAAAATTGTTTCCGGGTATTAATCTCTTGAATCACGGCGCTGAATATTGACGCAAAAATATTTCGGGCATCGCGCGCCCTTCCCGCGTCACGTGTAGGCATCTCGCATCTCTGATTGGTTGTTGCGTCTTAAGATGACTGAGCCGACGCGCGTTTAAACAATTTTTCTTTGTTCGATTTATCACACTTCACAGAGAATTGTCGCCAATGGCTACTTCTTTTTGTTGCAATACATAATACTTCACGGAGAATTGTCGCCTATGGCTTCTTGTTGACTCTTATTTCAAAGAAGAGAAGAGAGCTGACCTTTCTAATTTCCATCGCACATCGCGCCATGAACAGCGACTTTCCCGTGCCGGACTCTCCCAGTACCACCATCAGGGCCCGGTCACGTGACACGGGTTCGGGCTCAAGACGCGAACTAATCATAACTGCCGGCTCTTCAGCACCAGGGTCATCACCAATCAGAACCGCCGGCTCTTCAACACTGGGGTTATCATCCGACAGGTCATTGATCCTGCAGATGTCCTTATAAGGTTCTCTGGACCAATGGGACAGGGCGAAGTTCACGACCCTCTGCATCTCCGCGTCACGTCCGGTCAGGAACCGCCCCTTCTCCTCCATAAAGTCCGTGTGTGGAAGAGCGGCTATAGAAAAAAATGCAAATACAAGTAACGTTAATATTACATGCATACACATTCAGCAGAATTGTTCATCGTTTACTGTTAAATGTACGTACATAACAGCAACTTAACACAATATTGAAATTAAGAAACATGGAAGGGAGCAACAGAAACCTTTTAATTTGCCTTAGGCTCCCTCTCAGTTAATATTATCTAAAATGCAGTCATTAACCTTATCTTTGATAATCGCTATTTAAAGATTTTAAAAAGAACAAAATACCCTTTTTTTATTCTATCTTCTGTAAGTCGGATTACCTTGGTCGCGAACTGACAGGTTACCCCTGGACTCGGGGTATCTTCTCCCGATCGCTGTCTTCAGAAACTTCACCGCCAACTTGCAAAATCTTCCTAGTCCGGATAAATCAACCTGCAAATAAAATCCTCACCTCGAAAATTCTTACAAGAAATTTGCAAGTAGTGTCGGGGTGATAAAAGTCTCGTTTTGATCATTTGATTTAAAATCAGTCATGGGAAGGTGAAAAAACACACCACTACCAGAGAACTAGTCCCCTGCTGTAGTGATTACACACCTGTGTGGCCAAAGGACTACAGAAATGAAGAGGGGCACCGCCCCTATGCTCCGCATGGAGTGAAACGGGCCTTTTATGCTCATCGAATTCTACTCTCTTTGAAATGTTTTTAAAACACTATGGAGCCACGCCTACGTTAGTCTGTTAGCTTTGGCCCGCTCACCAAGATCCGCTACCCCAGGCCAAAGCTAACAAGGCTGGGATCCAGGCTATGTCTACGTACTCATCGATCAATGGGCAAGTTATGGGTTGGTGTTTAATGAATACCTCACCTTTTCTTCTGTAACACTGTCGACTTTGCACTTGTAACTGTAGACCTGGTTAGCAAACTTTGTCCTCAAGTAAGCCTTTAGCTTCTGAAAGTTATAGAATACCTATATTAGGAATTATGCAGTGCAAAACAGTTTCATTGAGCAATGATGGACGTGGATGTCACTATGATTCTAGGCATTGCATCTTTCAATCTCAAAGCCTGCAGTGTTTTACCTCTGGACCTTGAGATTTTTTCACAACCAGTTATGCCTCTTACCTTACTTACGTTTCAGCGTCTATCATACACATTCCTAAGAGCTTCTGACTTTTTTGAAGTGCTTTTTTATTTATCTGTGTATGTACTAGAGGAATTACTGATTATCTAAACATGCAAACAATACTGTAACAAGAGTTCCACGACCTCATACCTTCGCAAAATGATGTTAACCCTTGCGGTTGAAGAATTATACAATTAATTTTGATAATTGATTTTGCAAATAAGACCCTCATTTGCATGAGTTATATCAGTTGATCTTATTCTCCACCCAATGACAGCTTTATCTTAACAAGAAGGCTATTATAGCACTTCCTCATAAATTATGCAAATGAGGTCATAATTTGAATAAATTAAGTTTATTGATGTTCGCCTTCACTTAACTTCAAGTATGAAATTCCCAGCAGTTACAACTATGAAATTATGAACATTTCCCATTAATTATGCAAATTAGGTCTTCATTTACATAATCTATATCCTCAGATGTTTTTTTCATTCTCAATTACATGTCACAAGTGTTTCATAGTCCTATTATCGAACAAAGCAGATTTATAGAATTTCCTCATTAATTATGTAAATTAGCTCCTGATTTGCATAATTGTCATTTGATTATGTCAAGCATCCCTTCAGCTACCTACATACCAAAAATCACGACAATCCGTCAACCGGTTCTCGAGTTATCATCCTTTGAAAAAATTTCAACAAACGCTCCTGCAGTTCCAGAACGAGCCGCTAGGGGGCCCAAACTCATGTCACTTCTTCCCCACCTCAAGAGCTATCTACCAACCAAAATTCGTGACCCTAGCATGTCCAGATCGCGAGATATCAAAACCGGAAGTTCTGCTGCAGTACCAACAAAAGCCGCCAGGGGGCCCAGAATCTAATCATTTCTAGGTCTCATCAAGACCTACCCACCTACCAAGTTTCATGACAATGCATATTAAGCTTCTTGAGTTATGCTGTTCACAAACAGACAGACAGACAGACGGACAAACGCTACTGAAAACATAACCTTCTTGGCGAAGGTAACAATACATAGTGGTAACGCACTCAGGCGCTATATGCTTAGCGTTATATTCAAGTCACCACTAGATATGCTAGAGGCATTAGTGCAAATGCAGCTAGAAGCCGGTCACTAGCTACCTTTTGTTGTTGCGTATTTAGTTCCGCGGTGTCCACAAAGTTCCCGAGCTGTCCCTGAGGTACGTCCTTCAGGAAGTCAGGGTCCCTGAGGAAGAACGCGGCGTTGGGGTTGTTGTAGCGGACAGCGCCCCGGACTATCTCCATGTGTGTGATGGACAGGCGGTCCACCCAGCTGTACTTGTCCCTGATCTCCGAGGAAACGTCCTGCATGGAGGGGATCCAACCGTACCTGGGAACAACAACAGATCACAGGGCTCGAAATACTGGGTGCATGTGCACCCAAATTTGAGCTGTGCACCCAATTTGAGCTGTGGGTGCACCAGTGCACCTAAACGTTTTTGTAGGTTTGCGCATGTAAAGGAATAGAATGTATACTGATATACAGCATATTCTTGACATCTGAATGTCAGAAAAATAATAAAATTGTATTACAATAATATTGTATGCTTTGTTTAAAGTTTTGAAGTTAGAATTTGGGTTCATTGGAGTTTTTGAATTAGGTTTTGCTGATATAACAGTTACTACTTTTAAATTGTTTCATATGGTTTTTATAGGTTCTAGGTTTTTCTAGGTTAGAATTGCCCCGGGGAAGGTGACAGACGGTCACCGAAATGTCGGATGAATAAAAACACTCGGTTTTGTAAAAAAATTTTATCTCTTTATTCAGTCTGTAATAACAGCTGGGTTCAGTACCCACCTTTCCCCCAGCATGGCCAGGAAGAAGGGCTGCCCGTCTGTCTCCTCCAGACACCTGTCCAACTCCTCCAGACAGATGCTGATGGTTGTCTGGGAGGTGGAGTCCTTGGGAACCCCCCACCTCAGGTCACACTCAACCAGGTGGAGCTGCCGTCCTTTACACCACTCGTGCAGTTCAGGGAATACCTGCAATGTGGCGCCAGACAATAACCGATAACGTCATGTATTGCGCCTGATTTTTCGCGGTTCTCGTTTAAATGTTTGGTCAACGTTGCATCAGAATTTTGCCTGTTGCAGACGATATCCTTTCCGACGTAACATTTAGAAACTACAGACGGGCTGTTAAACGTAGACAAATACGACCTTATATGAGACGTTATGCTGAAGTGCTATGCACAATACATCACGGGTATCGCGCAGGTGCAGTACGTTCTGTCGACGTGCCACCTATGACCCACTGCTCACGGAGTCACGTGTGTTATCTGCGTGACGTCACGGAAGCGGTGGATTGCTCATTCCTTGACTGGAATTGTACAGTCGAAAATTTGTCCAATTTTATGTTGGAAATTGCAGTTCAAGTTTGTTTCATAATGACTACTACCAACACAGACATGACAGATGAACTTCCAAGATATTAAACATGAGTATGTGTATTTACCTTTTTGACTAGTGCCTCCCGTTCCGAATGAAAGTCTGCGAACGTAGACGACACGAAGACTCGCACTACTTGCCAGCCGCCTTGTACCGGAGTAGACCCTTTGCCCTGATCTCTCCGACAGATCCTGCACTGTTCTTCTATCTCTTTCCAGCACTCACTGACCGTTCTCTCTACGTCTATGGGCTCTCCACCGAGCGTCCCCTTGCGAAATTCTGCAGAACTGCATCCTGTGGAACCGTGATGATCTGACGAAGGCCGAGACTGACTGTGTTCTGTAGGCTCCACAGATAAAGGTTCACGGGCCACCACTGCATACAAAAGGTACGTACGTACGGTATGTGATATCATACTAAGTGCCCTTGAGTGGTAAGGACGACAACAGAGATTGCAAGGGGTTTATAATGATAAGGACAAAATGACATTATTATGAAGAGAGATGATAAAGTATTTTTCAAGTATTTTCAGTATTAATTACTTCCTACTTGTGAAATCTGTAACTGTATAGCAGGCACGCGGCGCGGCGGCAGCTGGCTATATTACACTGAACGACTTGCATTGATTGTTACACCTAGCCTTTTAACATCTAACTTTAAACATTGTTCAAACTATTAAAGCTATCTAATGATGATGTCCCTACTGTACTTGGTGGCAGCGAGTTCCACTCTACCATGATTTAAAAAAGGAGTTTTTGAACACCTCACTAGACATGTATATACAGGTCTAACCTTCTGCAGTGTCAAATAGAACATCGACGCCATCTTGTCCAGTAGTAACCTCCCGACGAAGGTCACAGGTGCCAGAGTCAGCTGTGGTTGGGCGGCTCACTGTGACCTTTGTCACCTTTGACTGACAACAACCCATCTAACTGCTATCTTCGTATAAGCAAAAGAATCTGCAAGCTCTGGGCGCTCCTATATTCACGACTGCTTGTGGATGATCTCTCGCTCATGCCGTGGCAACACATTCGCGTAAGTGGTTTCATCAAGTATCGTTTAAGGCGTTTGAATATGCAAAGTGTTATGTATGGTTCACTGTGGACCTGTGATCGATGTTAACAAGGTTATAGATGTAGTCCCGGGGGTAATGTATGTAGGTAACTGGGTTATACAACTTTAGTTAGATTACACATAGCTCGAGGCTGATTTAAATAGTTAATAGGTATTGCATTGACCCTGGCCTGACCCTTTAACGTTTATTGTGCATGGAAAGCTGCTAGGAACAGAGGGAACATTTTTATCCAATGACAGTGTTATAACAGGCTATCCCAGCATTTCCTCATAGATTATGCAAATAAGGATCTGATTTGAATAAACTATCTTCAATGATTCCAGGCAGTTACCACTATGGAATATTTTCCTCTCGTTCTCAATTATGTATGCCGCTAGATTAAATAGTCCTGTCCTGCAAAGTATATTAGATGCCGATTTGCATAATTGTCATCTAATAATGCCAAGCACCACATTATCTCCCTACATGCCATCATGGCCCAAGTATGTTCAGAACAAAGGTTCAAAAACACAGTGTGCATTCACCGGACAATCGTTGTCATGCCAATGACATACGTCTAGGCAATGTAATCCGATACCGGAAGTTACACGTCACCAATTTGTTTCCACAAAAGAGCTATTTGTGAACCGTTCCTGGCTTTCTCTATTAAACGCCAGTGAAACACGTTCACGTAACTTCTATACAGAAATGATCTGCTCTAAACAACAAGAAACACAAATAGAAACACAGAAACATTCGCAAGGCTTGCACGATGTATTTCTGGGCCGATGTAAATACGTCTTGTCTGTATTGACTCCAATACGTCAGTGAACTGGAATGCGGAAGTGATCTTCCATTACACAGAAAAAGTCCCAACGTCATGTGACTCCGACTTACGTCCAAGGCAGCCATGACAGGTGCGTAACTTCTCGCCCCTCAGCTTCTTCAATGTGTTATGTTGCACCAGCTGAGCTCTATCATGATATTATTATTGTATCCAGAACCGTGTCTGGAAATCTACGTTGATTTGCCCCAGACAAGGTTCGGCCGGACAAAACAACAATCTACGTAGATTTACCCCGTTAAAATTGACGTGTACTCAGAACCGCGCCTGGGTGAAATCTACGTTCTTGGATATGAGGAGACTATCCAGAATCGTACTAGCTCGTACACAGTTCTGGACACACAAGCTCCTTATACATGTCGTCATATAATCTTTGAAAATCCTAGATCCTACGACATTATTATATCAAATTGTACGATGACTTACGACTCACGCCGATACATACAACAGGGCACCCTGATTATTCTTAGTCTAACCCTCCTTCCTTGGAAATGACATGAAACAACACGTACGTACTCATATATTTGAGCAGTTAGTGTTAGGTACAAGAATGGGTAAAGGAGTTCTAATATACCAATCCCAATGCTCTGAATAATCGATACCATATGCCATCCCTCTACAAGTTACAAACGAATGAGGTAATCCTTTCACTTTCATGTTTGCTGAATGATAACGTATCGTCTCGGTGGCAATTACAACGATAGTTAGTGAATGTAGATTGTCCTTACCATTACCATTTTCATGTATACCTACAAACGTTAAACAGTCATATGTGGATAACTATATGCATGCACAGTTGATGACAAACCGTCATTCTTTACGATACATTAGTAATTACCAATGTTAGTAATGGTAATGAAACCTATATATATGCACTGCCTACCGTACTACCGTAGAGAGCATTACAGTTCACCTATGATAAATATCTGAGGCTTTATTGTGTTCCGCCTGAAGGTTTGTTTACTCCTCAAAGTTTAAGCTCACTGACTTGTAAAACATTGTTTGTCTGGACGTGTTTAAAATGTTCCCACCTGAATGTTTGTTTACTCCTTAACCTTTGGCCTCATCCAGAATCCATTGTGGTGCTGGATTATCAGGTTGCTAAAGACAGAGAAACGGCATAGCTCGATAACCCCATACCTTCCCCATATACCTTGTTATATTGTTTGAAACTATGGAAATTAATTTGCATGATACTATTATGTACCCTGGTAACCAGATAACCGTGACCTCAGCGCTATCTCTTCGGGGCTGGTAGCGTAACGAGCCGCCAAACCAGGCGCCAAGTACATGTACCGTGCGCCGGGGGTAGCTTTCTGCACACGGTTTTAGGTTTCTTTGCTTTGGTTTGGCTCGGCGTAATACAGGTGGCCAGCGGATATCAGCGCGCAATAGAAGAGCGGGCGTAATAGAAGAAGCCAGCGAAACCAGCTTGATAGGTCCGTGGTAAAGCTCGCCTGTGCCTGGTAAAGGTCCGGTATGGAACTTAAATTACCCCCAAGCCGACCCTAAGGCTTGGTACCCAGGCTACATGATTTATTAGTTAACTACAAATATACATGCAGGGGATTTTTAAAAAATCATTTTTTTCCTGCAGTTAATGAAAGCAAACAGAACTTTTAGGATCATATGTATCTCGATTACAGTCGTCTTTTTCTTTTCCTCAGACATGAAAGACCTATTTCGCATCATTAAGAAACATTGCGGTCTAAAGTGGAAGGACCTGGGTCGCTCCCTTGGGTTTGAGGAAGCAGAGCTCGAGGTTGTGGATGCCAAACACAAGGATGCTGGTGAAAGCTGTATGGAGATTTTGTCGACATGGTGGTACGGGAATTGTCGGGAGGCCACACCACACACCCTCCTAACTGCACTCACGGACGCAGGGCTGAAGGATGTTGCTGACCAAATTGAAGGTTTGTTATAAATGGTCTAACGTGATAACCACCATTCTGGTTGGCTGCATCTGTAAAATTGCATATATTAGCTATATATGATTATGTAAATTTACTTGACATCTTCCAGATTTAAGCATGATGAACAATTTTGAAAGACCATATCATCCCCCCATGTTATTTTCCCTAGAATTTCATTACTACTTTGTATTTTTTTACTAAAAATGAACGTTTTCAGTTCACACATAAAATAGATTATGCTATATCAGAATTACGTAATGAATGAGACAAATTAAAAAAACAACAAGACTTTCAAAGGCTGTAACTATTTTATGCAGGTATATGACATCTCCAATTTCTTGTTTTGTCTTATGCCTGTTCCGGTATAGCAGCTAATGAACTTGGCACTTTGATTGGCAGATTACTCATTACATCGTGGGTCGAACATCGACCAGGAAGAGAGTTGCAGCACTAGACAGCCATGCAAAACGCCATGTAAGTACAGCTACGAAAACTGCATAGTTATGTCTGATACCTTTTATAAATATTTAATGTGAAAAGAGGTGATGTCAACGTAATAATGACGTCATACTATACCATAATGAAATTAAAGTGTTGTAATGATTTGATTTTACTACTACACCATCATAATACAAGTAGTCTATTATTTTAGCAATTTACTGGAGTCATTCTCATTCTGCTTTGTAAATTAAAGCGAGCCACAGTATGGGTCATGCTTATGTTTTTTTATACATATTTTGCCCTGACAGGCAGTAAAGAGGTCTTCCAACAAGTCGCCGAATCGATTGGTGACAACTGGAAAGCCCTTGCCCGCCACTTAGATCGTGATGTCAGAGAAGCTGTGCTGAGGGGCATTGCCAATCAGTACGACCAAAACGCCAAGGAATGCTGTCGACATGTGCTGGAGAATTGGAAACAAATGAGAGGAAGAGACGCGACCTTGGAAACACTGCGAACAGCCCTTAGAGCAGCTGGATTGGCAGAGATAGCAGACGATATAGGTACAAATGGAGTTTTCAGTATTAAGCCTTAATCATTTGATATTAAAGCCGGTTTTAGATAGCACTTTATAAAACTTTTGTGTAAACAGACTTGGATGGTATACAATCTTTCAAATGTTGAGTCAGTGTTTTGTTGCTTGGTTTGCTTATTTGCAAATATAATCAAAGGTTGATATGTATACTCACGAACAGTAACAAATAATAACATGAAATATGTCTTACTCAGATGGAAGCGAGATTCATCTTGGAGGCGAAAGAGTGAAGATAAAGACCGAAGCTATCAACCCACCAGGTATGCTTACTTTAGTATCTAGTAGTAGGTGTTCAAGATATTCTTGCGGAGGCGTCGACATAACCGTTTTTGAAACCCCGTGGTGGTCTTGGGGTACCCTGCGCTGAATTATAAGTGTTCACGTTAGACAGCTATACATGATCTGATTAACATTAAGTTAAACACAGTGTGGAATTTGTTGTTACAGGACTACGGAAAGGGTTTCAAACAGTGGCGGATGCAATAGGCGATGGTTGGAAGCATCTTGCCATCCACTTTGGAAAGAATGACCGCCAAATACGTGGAATCGAACACCAACACGGTGGAAACACAAGGGAATGCTGCCTTCATGTGCTAGACGAGTGGAAGCTGCAAAGGGGTAATCAAGTAACTGACGAAACGCTCAAAGCAGCACTACGTTCCGCTGGGCTTGTGGACATTATGAACAGTTTACAAGGTAATCTTTAGACACTTCTGGAAGATTCTGTTCCAATAGTTGTGATGCACGCGATGCAATGCTGTGGTTATTAGGAGATTTTACTTTTTATAGTTGCAATACATTACAGTCAAAGACAAGCAAGAGAATTGGACTTAAATGAAGTTACATTAGCTACAGTAACAATAACTGGTTGTAGGTGTTTTCTGAATAAACATATGATTTTTTGTGTCAATATATTCTAGGTGATGGGCCAAGAGGTCTCAAGCGTCCACATACTCATCTGCTGGATGATTCGACGATTGCTGTCACAGACTTGCAAAGTAAGGGATACAATCACGACTATTGGACTCTTCCAATGACACCACAAACAAAAATGACTTCATAATCTTCTTCATCCTTACCTATGATATAGTACGAAGTGAAATATAAAGGCAATAAATTTAATCCATAACTATGGTATGGACCGAAAAACAAGTATAATGATAATCTTCCATTACTACTGTATAAATATATTGCCTTTGTTTTAAGGCCCTTCACGGGAATCTCCTGAACGAGACCACAGGAACGTGACCATATTGTTCAAGCGGATTCCAAGACAGGGTACTTTTGGTAAGGATGTTTCGTAAAACACTTTCGTGTGGCAAAATCGTATTACTCCAAGCCTTACGAATAGCAAAAACGTACCTATCGACAAAGAGTAGGCCTGTTGGTCAGTGCACCTACTTGCTGTCCCGCAGTCACAGTTTTGCCATGGGAAAATCTACTTAATGCATTTCAAATCTTTCGGCTCCCTTTCCGTAAGGCTTTTGACCGAAAATTACATTGTATATTTGTCAATGAATTGGTTTGCAAGCATCTACGTGTGGTGATCTGATTTGTATCATCCATGATTTTCATTGGAAGATTGCGATTGGTCAACGGGCACCACTCTAGTGGGAATAATGGAAAAAATGCAGCAACCTTTGTTTTGTTATATCGATTTTCAGGCGATAGAAGGCTAGAGGGAGTCTGCAACAAGGTAGCAATCTACATGGACAATCTTAAGGAAAAAGGTATCGGCTCAGATTTTACCACAGCCATGCCATATCTAGTTGCATATATAGTAGTAGCGCTCACTTCTTGATAATGCAAATATGCTTAGATTTTTGTCATGATGTACTGTTTTGAGAGAGGCTTAGAAATTCAGAATATCATATCATCACCGGTCCCATCTGTCCACGATGTGGATCACCACTGCTTTCTACTCTCTTCTGTCCAGTGATTGCCCTCTTGCTTCATTCCAAGTCATTTGGGATATTGTTTTTCCCATAAAATTTATGATATAATTCAGAATATTGTCAATATCAGATTTAGTATTGTCACTAATGCTTGTTGTACTATATGTCCATTAGGGGACTGGAACACATACGACAGGTTCGTGACAAAGGCATTCCACCTCTATCAGAACAAGCCTGATGTCATGATACGCATCACACTGGAAGTAAGTCCATTTGAATCGTTTTGCTTTTGTGCTGTTGCAGCATTGAACAGCGTATGTTGAATGAATTTCCCATTGCAATTATGATATGCAATATAACAGTTTAAGGTACTTTCATTGGTTTGCTTACAAAGTACGATTGAATAATCCATCCTCGCCATCATGAGTGGTGCATCACAGATAATGGTTGACTTAATGGAATTGATTTGTTCGAAGCATATCAGTAGGGTCGTCTGTTATGTTAAATCAAGTCTATTTGAAAAGTTGTGACGCCATTCACCATTTGTTATTCCATTCTGATTGATTTTAACCAACCAACCAATCAATCAATCAATCAACCAACCAACCAACCAACCAACCAACCAACCAACCAACCAACCAACCAACCAACCAACCAACCAACCAACCAAAGAATGAGTTACGCAATGAATTAACTTGTATTTTTGTCCTTCCCACAGGACATTGCTGCTAGCTACTACCGCGGGGACTTGGCCAGAGGGGACAAGGATGTCCATTCTGCGCATGACCTCCTGTTAAAGACGCAGGATCCCCAACATCACCTGGCACACTTGATGTACCTGAAATCAGCCATTTTGCGCAGGAGGAAGCGATATGACGAAGCAGAGGGCGCCATCATCTTAGCTCGACAGGTAGATTCCACTTCTCTTCCGTAGGGCCTGTAAAACATTCAAAAGTTTTCTTAACCATCTGGAACAGACTCTAGCAGAAATCATTGATAGGCATTGCGTACTGATTGCTGAAATCAATTGTAACCTAACGTCACAGGACATAAGTATTAAATTTGGACACTTTGATGGAAAAATTGGATTGGCCACTGCGGGCGATCCCGGCTTTGCCAGTTGTAGAGCTTTAAGAACTTGACTATTGTGTGTAAAGAAGTCGCTCAATTAAAGTTCAAAACCGTTGTTTCCTTTTTTGACAGGGCCTTGAGTTTATTCAGATTGGTCGAGACTCAGGGGAGATTTGGTACAACGTTGCCGCTCTCTTTGCGGAAGTTCTCAATGAGAAAGTAGTGGACCGACCAGACCTGTGGGAAAGAGATGTCGTGCCGTCCCTGCAGTCCGCCATTGATCATTATCGACGGAGTCTTGCGGAGAACGAAGATGACTCTTGCCGAAACAAACTCAGAAGAGCTCACATTCGTTTCTCCATGGCCTTGCTGCGCTGCTGGTCTCACGTAGGGAGAGAGAAACACGATCAGCAAAGCGTGATTCAGGCCGCTGACCTACGCCGCGCGGAGAACAGCTTGCAGGAGGTTGAGAACAATCTCTGGGACGACATCTCCGAGAGAATGGAGTGCTCTTGGCTCTTGGCAAAGTCGGACCTGATGCGACACAGAGGCAGCAACCGCAGAGCAGCCCAGTTGGCAAAGAACGTGATAACTATCGCCACAAAATCAGGTTTTCCAGCAGAGGAAAACTTTGCAAAGGATCGGCTTGAGCTGCTGAAACAAGCGGCGAAGACAGAAGCACCTCAAGTCTTGGAAGAGGAAGACATCCTTCGAGATCTGTCTGAGGCCTGCGACGATGATGCATCCAGAAATCTAGCGGTGGAAAAGGTGACTACATGCCGGTCTTACGAAACTTCTCCCCACTGTACAAACAAAACTGGTGTGATACGCCTATGCCTAGGTGGTTTACCGATTATGCGAAGGGGGAGGGGGGGGCGAAATTCCATGCAGCCTTTTAACTTATGGATAGAGGTAAGGATTTTTATGTGCCCTATTGAGGGGCCAAGGCATAAAACGTAGTGAGGCTGAATCAAGTAAGAGTTGAACAATCTTTCACTGGGCAACCAATCAGCTCATAACTTGCCGTTTCCTTTTCTCATAGGTACCAAAGAGGAACACTGATCCAAAAATGGAAGCGTGTGGAGCCATTCCAGGTAAAGGGTTAGGTGTTGATCTATCTTTGAGATGATACAACACTGAAAGTATATCCTTGCCTGTAGTTGCAACCTTGAAAAAATTGCTTGTTTTTTTAAGCTTAAACTTGGACTTTGCAAAATATTTTGTACGTTGAGAACTGAGCCATCCTGTTTGTTTGCGCAGCAAAGTCATAGTCTTTTGAGACTGACTGACAGTAGTAATAACATGGAGTTCTCACATAATGATGAGCATTTCTAACAACATGTATTTTTCTTTAACCAGAAAAAGCGGACGAAAGAGAAACCAGGGAAGTACATGGACGGCATGGGACAAACGAACAAGATATGTTAAGCACTGTCGGTGGGTCGTCCTCTATACCCTCTCTAAAGTTGCAACCTCATGTACATGCTATGATTGCCATTAGATTAGGTTTCTGCGCTCTTGATAATAATTTCCCTTGCTTATTGTACGTGTTCGAATTTATATAATAACAAACATTATACTAGTATTTTTTTTCCCTTCAGGATCGTCTCATTTCATACCACGTTCCCGAGTAGATCGTGACTCTTTAATACCACCACGCGCCGAGGTAAATATATTGTCTTCTTTTTATTAAAACTCTACAAGTACATCAATTGAAGGACTCGCATGTTGAAACGCAGTCTCTTTTGTTGTGATATTCGATACGAAATGTACTGTCGTTTTATGAGAAATAATAGCAGATGAAGAGTTGAAAATATAGAGTTAGAATGATGGCCCTTGATTCAAAATTGCCTCCAATACATTTTTTTTTTAGGTACAACAGTCAGCCCAGTTCCAAATGAGTGAAGCATCTGGTAGAACAAACCCTCACCACAGAAGACGGTATCCACCTCGTCGACCGCCCCCTCGACCGCCAACAATGCAAAGATGCCCACAATTCTACACACCTAGTCAGCGACCAACTTTCCAGCGTGCACCTTGGCATAGAGGTCCATTTCAAAACCAGCCTTTGTCGCCAGGGACCACAAACTGGAGACAGATCCCACCTGGAAGCTGCTTTGGTGGCAGGTTTCCATCGCCAGACAGGAGAATGAGACCACCAGCACCATGTTTTCCGGGACCCAATTACGAACAATGCCCTTTCGGTAGGAGATATAACAGGGGTAGAGCGCGAACACTGGACTTTCAGCCGACAAGCAAGAGGGGAAAGTGGCATTAGTAGCGTATAGCTACATAGTCGACACTATAATTCAACTGCTCAACTTATGTCAGGGTAAAAGCTGCTATGTCTTCCTTTGTTTATGATGATAAATATTTCAGATGTATGTGAATATAGGGAAACTCGGTCAATGTATTCTGTTTCATTAGATACTAGATTTCTGAATCACACAAAAAATGAATTGCATTGTACAAGAAGGAGGCAGATGTAAGTTTCTGATGCATACACTCTCCGTCCCCCCTTCAACATGGATTTGGGGTTTCGGGGTAAGTACACTACAACTGCTATATGACGAAATAGGTCATGTGTTTGATGTACCTGGGCAAGGTGATGTTATTTTCCTATATTGCAAAGCCTTCGAAACAATTTGTCACTGATTCTTTACACACGCTGTACTTTTTTTTGTAATCCGTTTTCATGGAGCTAATAAAATGTTATAATGTTATACTATGGTTTACATTCTCACCTGTGATCTTCAAGGCCTGTACATTTAGACCTATATAATGGGCATTGAGACTAAATCTGAAACATTTGGGGAAGCACTTTTGTGTAGCCTTGTATGGTCCTTATACGTCTGGGGATAGCCAGTAGTATGGAAGGTGGTGTCTTTGGCACGCGTACAGTTTGAATTATTCAACACTAGGAGCTACAGGTTCCAACACTACTGACACACAGGAGCTGTGAGTATCGAATTAACATGGATTAAACCATACATTATAATTACATTAGCGTAGTGAAAGTCGACATTTACATTTACTGTTGTTGCTCATTTCTTTACTACATGTGTAGAATACGGATAGTGAAGTTCACAATAAAAACCAAAACATTCCCCAAAGTACTTAAAATATCTTTATTCAAGAACGGTGCACCAATACTGTTCACGTTCAGGCGTTTGTGATCCAACAGTCGGCACAGCTTCGCTCGTCATGGCGTCCCTACAAGAACAAAAATACAAAATTGCCAGAGCAGAGTCTAGTCTAAAATAATACGAACGTATTCCATGTCGTTCGAATTCATATTGCGGTTTAATATCTTCTCTTGTACATGTATCATGTACCTTCTCACAGGAATGGAGGTACGCTACATCATCTCTGTAACATTTGACACATACATAGGTAGAAAAAAAGAGCATTTACCTGGAAACATAACATTTGCAAAGCAAATGCATGTTTACCTTCACATATGGTCTGCTCTGTTAATTCCAACTCAAACACATTCATATATATATTCATAGTATATGGTGACAGGAGTTCAAATCCCTCCTGCTATAAAATTGCAACATCATGTAACCCAACACTAGTTATCGTGGTGACAGAGGTCTGGTTCAGGTCATTGACCTTATTTGTTTGGAGAAGAAGAAGAGGAAACTGAGCAAAAACAATGTGTTTTTCTTCGGTAAAAATAAACAGAGATAAAAAGGAAAGCTGCCCTCACCATGTTGCTTCCGTGTTGTCTCTCACGGAATGGTGACGTACTGCGCTGAGAAGCCGGAGGCTGTGGTCATGGAGTCACTGTAGAACACCACCTTCAGCGTGTTGCCGGTGGAAGTGATCGGGGGCAGCTGGATGTTGCCACAATGGCGACCTGTCAAAATTTGGAGATAAAAGGTACATATTTATCTGTATCTGTATATAGCTGGCATCAATGAATTGGGAGATACAAGGCATGTCCGTGTTTTAAGTTCGAATTTTGTTCCAACACAAATAATTCTTAGCTTTCGACCGGTTACTCTGATCTTCTTCAATTGACTGACCCACACTCCAGAGAAGCCACGTGACAAGGCTCACTTGGTCAGTCTATCGAAGAAGACCAGAGTGACCGGTCGAAAGCTTCTTTGTGTTGAAACAAAAGTTTTAACTTTAAACATGTAACCACATGTATGCGTGTAGTAGACAAAGACACAGAATACGCGGTATCTTCTAATAGTTTTTCCCAGCCTTGTAGTATAAATATTCAATCATAATGGTCTACTGATAAAACATGACACATACAAATAGAGAAATCAAGCACCATTGAGTTGAAACATTTGAAATTCTTAATTACAAACAAAACAATAAGATGTGTTTTGTTAAGTAGAAGACGGTTACCCAGAGTAACGTCGTTCTGGAAGATCTCCACGTAGTCGTTGTGGTCAGGACAGAGTCTTTCTGCTTCCAGGTCGAAGTGGGTGAAGATCAGGTTGATCCTCATTCCAGCCTGAACCTCGATCTGTCAAAGGAAATCGTGATGTTTTAAAGAGGCTTTATATAACACTTTTGCATTAAGAATTGAAATATTTAATAACGGAAAAATCTTTTTATATTTTTTTTTTATTTGCAAATTCAACAAGGACAATACAAGACAAGGTGGTGAGGTACTCTAGCTGTAGCTAATTTTAGCCTCACCACCAAACATAGAATACAATTACAATACATAACAAAAAACAGAGAACAGCAAATGGTTGGGATGGGTCGTTAAATAGTACAAAGAAATGTTTAGTAGGCTATATGATAAATCAATCGAGTACAAACCGTTTGGTATCAACAATATAAGTTTGAGTGGTTAGCAAGATATTACAGTTTGTATCATAGTATAAATCAGGTAATCCTCTAAGTAATATATCACATAACAATTGTTCAGGCATATTGAAAACATCAAAATCAAAGCCTACCACATTCTGGAGATTGCTGAGTAGGGTAACTCTTTGTTGGTTATATAAAGGGCAGTGTAAAAATCTTTGTGTGGTTGTATTTTGCCTGCACTTTTCAACATGTTTGTACAATTATCTCATATTTATGGTTGGCATTAAATCAGCCCAGACGAGGTGCACAGTTTATAATACCACCAAAAACTACCAGAATGGCTGAAAGTATTTCCATATTTTAAATACATTGCTATTATACAAAGGAAAATCTATGGTGAATATAGAAGAGCTATTACAAAAGGTCTTTACATTAACACGACAATTCTACTCAAGACTGATACTTTCAGATATACTACTAGATACTGTACAAAGATCAATGCAAATATACTCGGTCAGAAAGAACGCTCACCTCCCAATTGCAGCGAGCGTTGTTGTCGTAGTTGTTGGGGTAGTTCATGCTGGTGAAGTTGCCGGTCGGATCAGTCAGCAGTTCGGGTCCACCGCAGCCAGACGCTAGTAAGAAAACGTGGATATAGGGATTTTACTCTGCACAAGCAGGGATGTTCTCTCGCCTTACTGACCTTTCGATGTCTGTCAGACACCTTCCTCAGTGCCTCTGACTTGTTCTGCTTCTCGCCTCTATATGTAGCCTATGTAGGTGGCGCTTTTGCGGCGAGAACACAATCCCAAACGTTGCTAAGTCTGTACCCCACCCCTCTGAATTGTTCTTACATTTACACGTTTAACACTCCGTTCTGCATTAACGTTATTCTAGTTTACGTTGTTGAAAACAATAACACAGTTACACTACTAGTAATACCTCACCACACTTAAAGCTTGCCTACGCTTGATTTTTCTGGCTAAGGGAGAAGAGGTGCTGCTGCAGTGAGCATTAAACGCATCGAACACGCATCGAACCCCCTGTTCTATTTCGACGGAGGTGTTCGAAATAGAACATGTGTTCGAAATAGAACATCGCGGGGGTTCGATGTGTTCGATCCGGATCGGTCTATTGAGTCGAGCATCATCGATTACGATGGATCCATTAGGTTTACAAAGTATTGGGACGAAGAGTGAGCCAACTCACGGTGTACGGGGTGCACGTCTGAGGTAAGGTAGGCGGCGGTCCAGCCGGCATCAGTCACGCTGCTGTCCGTGACCCAGCGGACCGTCAGCACGTTGGTGTGGGAGTGGATCGGGGCCGGGATGGTGTTCCCGCAGTACTTACCAATCAGCGGCGCGGAGGTGTCGGGACCGTCATACACGGCAACGTAGTCATAGCTGGAAATTACAGAAGAAATGGTCAGAGATAGCAAAAGTATCACATGTGTACAAAGTTAACAGGTTGTTGCTTTGTCTTCAAGCTGTGCGGAGGTGTCGGTACCATCGTACACGGCAACGTAGTCATAGCTGAAAATTAGTGGTCAGAGACCCAGCTAACAAGCTAGTAATATCACAATCCAGCAGTATTACGTGTACTGGAAAGTTTACAAAATGAATTTTTCAAGGAAAAACAATATATAGAGAGTAGTCAACATTTAGTATGCAGTTTTGCACTGTAATTGCTAAGTTGCACGTTAGTACCCGATTTCATAATCATTGCTTCAGGTGATCATGGCACAGAAACCAAAAATGTACATTTTAGTCTAAAATAGCCAAATAAGTAAGAAAATCGCTCCTGGGCAGATACTGAAATGCCTATATATCCAGATTTGCTTAGAATACATGTGTGTCAAATTTGGTGCTTTTAGACAAAAGTGCACAATTTTTCAGCCATGTCGCTGGACTAGTCACCTGCATGACGCCCCGCCTTCCTCGACGTCGAAAGCGGTGAACTGCATCTCCACGAAGTGTCCGACGGGGGCCTGGATGGTCCAGATGCAGTCCTGGTTGTTGTCGTAGTACTGGGGACCGAAGGTGCCCGCCACGTCGTCCAGAATCCCGCCGCATTGGATCTGCAGAGGGTTGGAGCCGCCGTTACAGTTCTGCTCGTCGCTCATGTCGCCGCAGTCGTTGTCGCCGTCACAGACCCAGGAGCTGGAGACACAGCCGCCGTTCAGGCACTGGAACTGAGCCGAGGTGCAGCCCTGCCCGCCACCTGGGGAAATTTCAAGGCTTTTGTATCCAGAACTGTATTTAATATAGGCAAATGTTTTACAGAACCTTTTTAGTCGTTGGGAATTGTAATGTCCCAACGCAATTCAGCCATCTAAAAATATAAACTGTCTATCTGATGCTATGCCAAAATGGGTTTATGGTAGGCTCAGGCAAGGCTCCGCAAGACGGATTTACAACAAGAACATCTAATCATGAATACGCATAGACTATCCAAGACCGTGTCTGAGCACGGATGGAATAAAGCACAGCTCTGGATACAACAGCTGTTTAAAACCTTACAGTCCTGTCTTTAGCCAGCAGATTTAACCTACTGTACAAAACTGATGTGTGTTAGAATTAAAAGCAGTTTTCAGGCTATGCGATACAAAAAAAAGTTGTAGACTTACCTCCACAGTTTTGCTCATCAGAGCCGTCCCAGCAGTCTTCGAAATTATCACATTGCCAGCTGGCCTGGATACAGTCCCCGTCGTCACACTCAAATTCGCTACTCAAACAAAATTGAGCTGGAAAAAATACCGTAACGGTTCAAATACGGTTATCAACAAACTTACTAGTAAATAGTCTTTTAACGCAGAAAGATATAGTATAAAATGGTCTTATATATTCAATTACGGTTATTAACTCTGAAGAAAAGGATGAAATGTATATAGCCTTTTGATATAGAAAGACATAGTCTAAAATGGTCCAATAGTACAATAGCATCATTCGGAAAGTTTTGCAGCATTTTGAATTGACCAAATTTGACACCATATGGAACGACTGTGCAAATTCATTAAAAAACTGATACAGGACCATGCTGTACCAAACTCGCTTTTCTTACATAACAAAATTCTATATTGATTTTCTCAAAACAAGGCAATGTTTCATATTAGCTCAGTTTTTGGTAATGGTCACCTCATTCCGATTTGTTTCAATCATTTAATAAGAGTATTTGAAATGTGCTGATGTTGCACTCAAACGACAAAAAATAAATTGCAGTAGAATACATACATCTTACCAAATGACAAACGCTCGACAATAACATGATTCAACTTAACAATGTTAGAAACTGCACAACTTCGATAATAGACTAACCTGGCTGACTAACGGCGGCTCCGAAACACAGAAACACCAGAGCAAGGACCCTCATGATGTAGACCTCTCTTCACGGTTATTGAGAAAAACAAGGTGCTATGAGTGTCGTTACCTTATTTATACCTGTATCGGAAATAGATCATACGTGTTATTTGATCCTGATTGCAAACATTGGTGCATCCGGACGCAAACGTCACTAAAACCGCTGCACCTGTTACTTTCCGTGGTCTACCCGTGTGAGTGTGCGCGTGTACAATGTAAGTACATGCATGTATGTATACACGTAGTGTATGTTTATATGTATTATGTGTTATGTATGTACGGATATCGTACGGATATCATGACTGTGTAAGTGTGAGTCAGCACGGTTACCAAAATGACTGTACATTTTTGTATAGAGCAAAAAAACTTGGACAAACATTATATTGCCACGTCAGAACCGTTTTATTCTTTGGAAAAATATTCGACTATAGCCAGAGGATACACTTGCCGGCATGTATTTTTTATTCAGTATCATATCTATTCTTACACGTCATGTAAAATTACATTACTTGTCCATAATAGCGTTTGACATATTTATAGTGACATGTAAAACATACACTTTGTCCTTTTCTCATGCCTTGAGTTATCCTCAATTTCAAATACCATGGACCCATCGTCTGGACCAGTCTAATACACACGTACTGACTCTTTAAAGAGACTATTGCAATAACTGAAACAACAGCAAACAACAGCAACTTTCATTTTCAATTGTAATGTATTTAGTAATGACATGTATGCTTTAGGATGGATTTATTAGTATAATATGCTTGTGAGTTTGCCAGGACTTCAATCATATGACCTTTACCATTGTAACCTCATGTAACCTCTACCATTACCCTCGTGACCTCAATGGAAAGCTGCATATTTGAGTTTTCTGATGAATAAGCAAGGGTCCAGGCAAACACTTCCATGCTAGAGAGCGGACCAACTCCCCTGGCATGCTATCTCTCTATTTGACCGATTTCTACTCTTTCCGGCCGCCTCTCGAAGCCTGGTAGAGGCTACTTTTTTTATATATATATTCCAACATTTCATGACCAAACATGGCATCGACACACTCAAGTTATATCAAATAACTTGAGTTATATCAAATTACCGCCACCAACACAGAGTACAGGACAGGACAATACTCATTTTCACTTGAGTTAAGTGAGGAAAGTCGTGTAAAGTGCCTTTCCCAAGGGCACAAGATCGGTGGCATGTCAGGACTCGAACCCGGGACCTCTTGGTTCCGAGACGAGCACTCTGCCGCTACGCCACACGACCCCTAGAGGCTACTTCCCTGCATCAGTCCACGGTTGTGTACTGTGCTGCGAAGCCGGTGGCGGTGGTACGACCGTCGCTGTAGAACACCACCTTCAGCGTGTTGGACGAGGACACGATGGGCGGCAGGTGCAGGTTAAGGTTGCCGCAATAACGACCTGGCGAAGGGTGACACAAAATATTATGTTAAACTAGAAAGGTAACATTTGCAAATGCATGTTTACCTTCGCATATAATAAATACAAATACAAATATGGTATGCTCTGTGCTTAGTCGAGCACATTCATACACGTGTATGTGGTGAAAGGGGACTAAATCCCTCCTGCTATGAAACTGCAACACGATGTAACCCAACACTAGTTACCATGTTGACAGACGTCTGGTTTAGGTCATTGACCTTATTTGTTTGTAGAAGAAGAGGAAGAAACCGGGCAAAAACAATATGTTTTCCTTCGGTAAGTCCCATGACATTATTACTTCGCCAAATGATGTTAGCATTAACACGACTGACGAATTGTATATTTCTCATTGATAATGCAAATAAGATATCAAAACCGAAAGTTCAGTTGCAGTACTATATCAAGCTGCCAGGGAGCTCAAAGTCTTCACATTTTGAGGTTTTATCAAGGCCTACCCATCTACCAAGTTTCATGGCAATCAAATGACAGCTTCTTGAGTTATCGTACTTGCTAAACTACATACACACAGACACACATTGCCATACAAACGCTACCAAAAACATAACCTGCTTGTATGGTTCTGGGCTGTAGTAAAACAATTAAATCCTGTACCCTGAGAAACGTCGTTGTCGAAGATTTCCACATAGTCGTTGGTGCCAGGACAGAGTGTCTCTGGTTCAAGTTCAAAGACAGGAAAGACGAGGTAGATCCTCTTCCCTGCCCTCACAGTTATCTGTAACGAAAGGCAACTGTTATAGAACATTAATTCGGAGATCTCAGACTTCCATGAAATATTTAGATGTTGTGCAATCTTCTTTTGACAATCGCCATCATTGTCAAGCAAGCTAAGGAAACAACACCAGCTGCCAAGGAGGTCATGTAACGAAAAACAGCAGTGAAACCAGTGAGCGCTACCAGATGCAGACGTAATTAATGACTTTCTCCTTCTCAAAAGACTGAACCCAACCATACCATTACAACCTGACCTAAGGGCCATGCGGAAACACAGACACACACGGAAACGGCGAACTGTTCTCTCAACGGACAAACTCCCTTGGCATGCTTATCTCTCTATTTTGGCCGATTTCTGCTCTTTACAACCGCCTCCTCAAGCCTGGTAGAGGCTAGGACACATACACAGACATACCAAAAACAATACATCCATTGTTGGAGGAATCAAAGTAGTCAATACCATACATTGATATTTTACACGAGTGGTGAAATTAAGCCCATTGTAATCAGCTTACTCAATATGAAGCACTGCATTTTCATTTTGAAAACGGATATTTTTTCGGCTCACCTCCCATTGGCAGCGCGCGTTGTTGTCGTAGCTGTTTGGGAAGTTCATGCTGGAGAATTCGCCAAAGGGTGCGGTCAGCTCCTTGGGACCGCCACAGCCAGACGCTGGGAGGACAGATCGTATGGACACCTACTTAAGGCCACAGCAACTAAATTATATGGATGGCATCCACCAACCGGTGCAATAGCTCAATTGGTAGAGTGCTCGCTTTGTAACCGGGAGGTCGTGAGTTCAGACCCCGGCCGGGTCATACCAAAGACTTTAAAAATGGTACGAGTACACACTTCTTTCTCTGCTTAGCACTCAGCACATATGAAAAAGAGTGTGGGAAGGTCAAACACACAGCACTACTAGCGGACTAGCCCCCTGCATTGCACAATTGTGTGTCGCCCAAGGCCTGAGAAATGGAGATGGGCACCACCCTACGCTCGGGCAAGAGCACGGGAGACCTTCCTTCCTTCCATCCTCCTCAGTCTTCAAATATAATGCGATAGAGCTGGCGATAGGGAAAAAACAGGCGCGCCAAAAAAAATAAGATTCTTACATTTGACATCATGAACCGTGTAAACAAGACACGATACTTTGTGCTACGTTTACTGCCAGCTATTACAAAATCCATTTGTCACTGAAACAGCTTTGAAATAAAGAAAAGTTTGGTGTATCGACTGAATGAGCCATCTGCCAAAGGTAGACTTACGGTGCACTGGCGGCTGGTCTGTAGTTGTATATACAAGTCTGAAGCCCGTCTCAGTGACGCTGTTGTCGGTGACGAATCTGACGGTTAAGGCATTGCCGTGGGAATGCATCGGGGCCGGGATGGTGCTGCCGCAGAACTTACCCATCAGCGGCGCCGAGGTGTCGGGACCGTCGTACACCGCAACGTAGTCATAGCTGAAAAAAAAAACGTGATCAGTACGACGTGTATGTAGTTTACGTACAGCTACGAGTACACAGGCTTCGACCTATACTTTTGTTCTGTATCTGTATAGCTGGCATTAGTGGTGTGTATCAATGAATTGGGATATACAAGACACGTACGTGTTTTAAGTTGGGAACAAAGTTGGGACCTCTGGTATTCTTGGCACTAATCAACGACGCGGTACCAGCAGAGGAAACATCTACTGAAGGCTGGAAATACGTAGATGACATGTCATTGGCTGAGTCCAGGCACAACAGTCTTCCCTCCACAATCCAAAGAGACATTGATAGCCTAGTTCACTGGACAGAGTCTAATCATATGGAACTTAATCCATCTAAGTGCAAAGTAATGGTAGTATGTTTTATGAGAGAACCACCCCCACCTCCACAGTTGTCTGTGGGGCCGTCTGTATTGGAAGTTGTCCATGTTGCGAAAGTACTAGGTGTAACACTTCAATCAGATCTCAAGTGGTCCGCCCATGTAAACTCCATGGTGAGCAAAGCCAACCGTAGACTTTACCTGGTGCGAGTGCTAAAGAAGTATGGACTTGGTGATAATGACCTAATTCTAGTTTTCTGCGGTTTTGTAAGACCACTACTAGAGTACGCTTGCCCCGTGTGGCACCCAGGCATCACCTCTGTTCAGTCTAGACACATAGAGTCTGTGCAAAGGCGAACATGTAGAATTGTATTGGGTAAGAACTACGTCAACTATGATGCAGCCCTAGGCCAGCTGTCCCTTACCTCTCTGTACCAGAGACGAGTCCTACCCTGTAAGAAGTTTGCAGTGTCTTTATCAAGATCCCCTACTTTCTCCAGTTAGTTACCGCCTACACGTGCAATTGTACATGGCAGAGAACTCAGGTCCAAAAATCAAATCAGTCAATTTAGCTGCAGAACATCGAGATTTAAGAACAGTACTTTACCTTTCATTGTAAAGTTACTAAATGATAGTTGACATGTTCATTGTGTAAGTCATGGTTGTATACGTATTGAATCGTTATAGCTGATTTTATATTGTTTAACATTGTTGTATTGAATCGTTATAGCTGATTTTATATTGTTTAAATGTAAACAATAACCACAATTCAGCCGAAGGGCTGCTATGGTATTGTATTTGTATTTGTATTTGTGTGGAAATAAATAAACCAGTCATATAAGTTCAAAACTTTGTTCCAACACAAAGAATTCTCAGCTTTTAACCGGTTACTCCGGCGATCCGATCTTCTTCAATTGACTGACCCACACTTCAGAGAAGCCACGTGACAAGTCTCACTGGGTCAGTCTACTGAGGAAGACCAGAGTGACTGGTCGAAAACTCTAGGTGAGATAATTTCTTTCTGTTGGACCAAACGTTTTAACTTTAAACAATCAGATAAATCGCCTCACGCGCAGGACGGCCCTCCAGCCTCCACGTCAAAGGCTGTGAACTCCAGCTCGATATAGCTGCCCTGGGGCGCTCTGATAGTCCAGACACAGTCCATGTCGTTGTTGTATGAAGGACTGATGCTTCCGGTGGTGTCGGTCAACAACCCACCACACGACACCGGCCCACCTATGGGGGAAGTACAACAGAATCAACTTTATGATTTTATAACGCGTTCATCCCAAGAACATTGTCATTTGTGTAATACGTAAAACTCTATGTAAACGACAGATGTTAATAATTAACTATAATGTCGTTTCAACGCTGTTTATAGTTACATCAATCACATTGTTTATTAGTATATGACTGTAAAATCAATGCAATTCAGCCCTGAAGGACTGCAAGGCTGATTGTACAATAAAATTTGTTTGAAAGTTGCACCTTTATTTGCAAAATCACGCCCAAATGTTAATTGCTTGTACAGTGCAAGAAAGTAAAGTAAAGCAAAATGAGATATACGACTACTCTTTGCTCAACTTATACTAAAGGTACGCTCGCTACTATTTTGATTATGGGGTTTGACTTCTTTGAATGCACTGGACAATAAATTGTCCTACTATTGCGGCAACTGCTTGAAATAATCTGTTGATCTCATAGTTAATGTGTTGTTTTGGGTGTTATTGAAAATGTACCACATTTATCAGAAAAAGAAATAGAAAGGATAATACTAATCATAATCTAAAAAAACGAGATAACAGTGCTTTCCAACCGTTGCAGTTGAGTTCGTCGCTCATGTCGCCACAGTCGTTATCACCGTCACAGACCCAGCTGTCTGGTATGCAGTTCCCACTGGTACATTGGAACTGGGACGGCGAGCATTGCTCTGTGCCACCAGGAATTCAAACAGTAACATACATTATTTAATACTGTTCTTTTCTCCGGGTGCGCTTCTCTTCTGCGCAGTGCATCAGTCTGGCGTCTCCTGATTGTAGCTACCCGGACAGTGTGAACCTCCTGTTTGTTCGGTCATTGGCAATGTCCTCTTTGTGTTCTATGTCAATATTGAGAGCGTCCAAGGATAGTACATGAACTCATGAAGACCTAGCTGAAACACTGGCAAATATTGACCTGGAGTCCAGGCTGTTGCCAGGGCCTACACATGGAACAGCCCGGATATTCGGCACAACAGAGGGCCGACATGCCCTGAGAAAATCCCTTCCGATCAGAATAGTTTCAAATTTGCAGCTAGCCAGACTACAGTCGTGACAGAAATGTGAGATTACAGCGGATTTATGTTTATATGATTTCTATGTTCATGTTTATGTTTTGATGTCTTATAAGCCCATATGGTCCCATATGGGCTTGGCGACAAAAGTCGCAAGACACGTAAATAAAAATTCATTCATTCACTCATTCATTCGGAAGATTACAGCAGATATAGAGCCTCTCACAGAAAGAGGCAGTGAAGATATTATGTGATGTTTGATCGTTACCTCAGTTCCCAAATCTTACCAACAACATGAACATGAACATGAACATTGCTAATGACAGAAATCTTTGTGACATTCACTCTGCTCTATATGGTATTGTCAAAGACTGATCTAATCCGACGATTGGTGCATGGCGATAGAGGTCTCTTTCACCTCTACACACACACATGTGCTATGTAAAACGCATTTCCAAAATCATATCCAGTTGCTTGAGTAACTGATTTTTGGCGTATCTTATTACCTGGATGTCTAACCTTCATCGACGTATGTGCAACGCACATCGGCAACACATATTTTGAGTGGAAAATAAAGACACTGATATTCATCAGTCTGAGAGTACTTCAACAACTTTATTGGGAACTCAGATATGATTGCGAACCAAAGTTGTGTGGACTTCCGCCGGCGCTGCTCAGTTGTGTGTTGTGTACTGTGCCTCAAAGCCGGTAGCTGTGGTGCTGGAGTCAGTTTTGAACACCACCTTCAGCGTGTTGCCGGTGGAAGTGATCGGGGGCAGATGGATGTTGCCGCAATGGCGACCTGACAGAGAAATAAAAGAAAAGAAATTGGGATTTCAAACCTCCGGTAGGTATCTAGAGTTTTTGTGAATCTAGTATTGGCACAATCTGGTATGACATGATGGTCTGACGTCCTACACCTGGCCTTGACAAAAACTTAGCCAGCTGAAAGGCCGGAATTGCATGAACCTAACTTGGCTGTGTGGCAAGCCTTAAGTAGGTATCCCTATATCTATTGACTATGTGGGCAGACCTTCCTGTCAATCTGCGGTACTGCATCAAATGCCGTCAAATACGGACACACAAGCAAACATACACACACACACAAGCAAGTACACCGAAAACAATACCTCCAAAAGGAAAGCCACACGTACAAAGTAGACAAATGTATTTAAGAGATACGAGAAAGTTCACCCCCCCCCCACCCATTTTTGGCGCTAGCTTGTTGAATGTTACACTGCACAAATTCTATTCCTTAAAGCATGCGTAAAGGCTGCATTTCTTCACTTACATGTATGTGTACCTTTACGTAAGCTTTCATGTGTGCTGAAAGATAGGCTTTCGTTGAATGTTACCTAGGGAAACGTCGTTCTCGAAGATCTCCACGTAGTCGTTGGTGGTTGGACAGAGTCTCGCTGGTTCCAGATCGAAGGCGGGGAAACTCAGGTGAATCCTCTTTCCCACCTCAGTCTCGATCTACGACGAAAAAATAATCACAAAGTCACAGATGTTTTCATTTACAATCTTTCAAAAGTGGGGTCGTGTGCCGTATAGATAAGAGGTCCGATTTCAAGGCCCGATTTTGTGCCCTTGGGAAAGGCACTTAACACGACAATGGGTATTGTCCGTTGTCCTCTGCATTAGTGGTGGGATTAAAATAAATTGAAAAAAAATATCTGTCAGTGAGTGTGTCGTCAACCACGTATTGTGTTAAGTGTTGGAAAAGAAATAAAGATTCAAATAACACTGAACAATAGCCCTGGCATTTTTATCACATTAAAATTCAAAATATTGTTGCCTACCTCCCACTGGCACTGCGCGTTGTTGTCGTAGTTGTTGGGGTAGTTCATGCTGGTGAAGCTGCCGGTTGGATCAGTCAGCAGTTCGGGACCTCCACAGCCAGAAGCTGAGGAACAAAACTTGTATCAGAACTCCGTGAATAGTTTCATCAAGGTTGGTAAGTTACTGAGTAAAGAGACTCTTTTTACACAACCAAGTGTTTTATTCACAGCCGACGTTTCGGTGACCGTCTGCCACCTTCCTCAGGGTAATTCTGACTGGTTCACATTGCACAGCACAGGTGTTGCTGCTATAGATGCATTCCCATACTTTGCATCAGAACTACATTGACCCCCCTTACGGCATCATGAACTCCATATGTCTTAGTCATCAGAATACCAATTGGTCAAGGCGACAGCAAGTACATTTTATGGATGACATCTTTTGCAGACTCCAAAAGCTGCAGAGACTCGAGCACGAAAAAATCGAGATGGACAAAAAAACATTTTCAAAATGGAGACCAAAAACGTTGCAACAAGAATTGAAGTAATTAAACATGGTATCATAGCCAACAAGACTTATATTCTAGGAGCGTGGTAGTTGAATCAAAAGCCTTCGATCATGAAATCTATAAATACGATGTACAGTCCCATCATTTAGCCGATAGGTAGCTGAAGAGCAGTATCACTACAACTACAATCAATTCTATTGTCACCATAGTAGTGCTTTTTCTAAATCAGCTGAAAATCAATGCGCGTGCAGATGAATTTTACTAGTTGTGGCCTGATAGATACTATGAGGCAGAGAATAATCTCCAAGCACATCATACGGTGGCAAGGCAGTATCCATTGGCCAGAAGAGTGTCCATTATAGCCATCGAAGCTAATGGGCACTCCTCTGACCAGCGGATACTGCCTTGCCACCGTATGATCATGATCTGCTTGGTGGCGATAGGAAGAGAACAGGCTACAAACTCACGGTGTACGGGATGCGTGTCTGTAGTTGTATAGACCAGCGTGAACCCGGTCTCCGTGACGCTCCTATCAGTGACGAACCGGACGGTCATGACGTTGGTGTGGGAGTGCATCGGAGCCGGGATTTCGCTCCCGCAGAACTTGCCGACCAGCGGCGCGGAGGTGTCGGCTCCGTCGTAAATAGCAACATAATCATAGCTGAAAATTACAGAAGAAATTGTCAGAGATCCAGCTAACAAGAAGGTGGTACTATATGTGTACTTGAAAGTTTACAAGTTGTAGCTTTGTCATCAAGTTTTAAGTGGCGCGGAGGTGTCGGAACTGTCGTACACGGCATCATAGTCATAGCTGGAAATTATGTTATTTGTCATTAGCAAGAATCAAACTTATTTCAACTACAAGTTGTAGATTCTGAACAGGGTGAGTCTGGGACACATAATGCAAGTTTTACATAGGGCCACCACTCTGCCATCTAATGCCATCATCTTCCAAAATAATCTCAGATAAGCTAATATGATAAAACACAGTGTAGAGTTCAACTACTCAAATAAAGAATCTCACACAGACTGGTTTTTCATGACTGTAATCTGGTGCTCTACTTTCTACAGTAACAGGTTTGTAGGAGAGATAGCTTTAACTTCCAGATTCCTTTATTGGGATGTGCTATCCCAAACCATTTACTTGTTTCAGATCTCTACACCTAGTGCTGGCTGATGTAGGGCCAGATCGGCGTTCTAAAAGTTGCTAAAAGAAATACCTGCAGGACGACCCGCCAGACTCCAGATCAAAGGCTGTAAAATCCAGCTCGATGAACCAGCCGGCCGGAGCGGCGATGGTCCAGATACAGTCCATGTTGTCGTCATACGTAGGGCTGATGGTTCCGGTGGTGTCGTTCAGGACGCCTCCGCACACATCCAGCTGTGTGGCCCCTCCTGTACCTCCGCCACCGCAGTTCTGCTCGTCACTAAAGTCGCCGCAGTCGTTGTCGCCGTCACAGACCCAACTGTTGTCTATGCAGCCGCCATTCGGGCACTGGAACTGGGCTCCTGTGCACTGGCCATCACCTGGGCATGCAGAAAAGTAGTCAGAGATCGTACATTCTGAACATAGTGAACTTTAGATCAACACAGTAAAGATAGCTCATCAATTTTTTTTTACTGTTGTTTTATTGATCTGAAGTATCAAACGTTAACTTCACTATGAAATTTACCAACACAGCTTTCAGAGCACTGCGAATATAGTCTAATTCACTTGATCAATATACTTCCAAAATTAGTAAACGGAGACCAAATTTACCATTGCAGTTCACCTCGTCACTGCCGTCATTACAGTCGTTGAAGTCGTCACACTTCCAGAGCAGGGGGATGCACTGGCCGCTGGCGCACTGGAACTGGTTGACAGTGCAGATCTGAGCTGGAAGAATGGCGGACTACGTCGGTAAAGGTTAGACATCCAAGTAATAAGATACGCCAAAACACAGTTACTCAAGCAACTGGATATGACTTTGGAAACGTTCAGACGTTTCAGAGCATCCACTGCCTTTCGTCAGTGACACTGGCAAGGACAATGGTGGACTCGATTAGCTTAGTCTCCACCAGACTCCTTTGCAGGCGGAATAAATAGTAGAAATCGGCCTAAAACGAATGTAAGAGCAAGAGATTAAATAAATACATTATCTTAATAGTGAAAATGAGTTGGAGGGTTGCTAGCTCATTTTTGACTAGTAAGAGGTTAAATAAATTCTCTTACTAGTGAAAAATGAGTTACAGGGCTTCTGGCTCATTTTTCACTGGTAAGAGATTAAATAAATAAATTCTCTTACTAGTGCAAAATGAGTCAGAGGGTTGCTAGTGCATTTTTCACTAGTAAAGGGCTAAATTTTCCTTCTAGAGTTACAGGTGCTATAGCTGTAGACTTTAGAAACAGGGGAAAGAAAAAAACTTACCCGCCGCGGCTCCCAAACAGAGCAATACCAGCGCGAAAGTCTTCATGGCGCACAGCTCAGTTTCCGAGGAAATCTAGGCGGTGTGAGGGCGATATCTGTACCTTATATCCATCCTGGCGCGCACAAATAGTACGTCTTGTTTGCCCGGCAGTGCAAACCTCCGGGCCGGACGCTTACGTCACACAGCCTGCACCTTAGTTAGTTTTTCCCTGCACTGTTAAACATCGCGAGCCTTCACAGATACCAATGCAAATAGAATATGCGTATATTGTGTACTCATGCCTAATGTAATGTGCATGTTATAATTCTTAACGTTACCACACTCTAACTGACTCTAGCTGAAAAATAGTAAAAATTGTCCAAATAGACTACATGATGTTTGTAGTGTACTCCTCTTGCATATGTATATGAATATATATCAGTCGGTCTACTCGGACAATTTCTTCTAATTTTCTCTCTTCTATTTGAGCGTAGGAGTCTGGTAGAAAGTACAAATGTAAGCCTTCGTCACATTACTGCGGTTTACAGAGCCACTATCAAGACATTGCTTAACAGCTTTTTAGGGCTTTAAGTTTGAATCCTGGCAATGGAAACACTAACTTCGATTTTCCTCCACTACGACCGACTTTATTTCTGTAGTCAACAAAGCAAACATTCACCAACGTCTGTCAACATCTTTAATGGCACTACTTTATTCGATAACTGTACACCAATGTCGTCGTCATCCACATGTGTGTGATCCTTCATACAGCTTCACGTACCACGTCCCCTGGAATGGCAAGAGTGGGGTAAGTCTTTTTACGCAACAATAAAAGTAAGATTTACTAATGATGAAGATAAGAAAGAATACCAGGCAATGTCTGGTAGTGTTTACTTTAGGCACCATTATAGTTTTTTTTTTAAGTGTGCATCAATCGCTATTGCCAATTCTCACTTTTTGTGGAGTGAGTCCTGCATATCTAGCTCCAGTGGGACAGTCTACTGAGGAAGACCAGAGTGACTTGTCGACCGTCGAAAGCTCTAGGTGAGAAGAATTCTTTTCAAAAGTTTAAACTTTAAACACATACCCCGATGTCACTTTTCAGCAGTCTTCAGTAAAATCATTCCAATGGAAATAAATCAAATCACTATGATTCATTCATTAGCTTCACCCCCCTTGTCCTGATGAAGCAAATGTGAGAGAAACACCTTCGCGTGCGTCCTTCGGTGTTGCTCACGGGATGGTTGAGTACTGCGCTGAAAAGCCGGTAGCCGTGGTGCTGGAGTCAGTGTAGAACACCACCTTCAGCGTGTTGCCGGTGGAAGTGATCGGGGGAAGATTTGTGTTGCCGCAATGGCGACCTGACAAAATATTGGGGATACAAAGGACACATTTAGTGGACAATGTATCAAAACATGCATGTCACTGGCAGAGTGCTCTCACAGGGCCAGAGACAGGAGGTAGTGGAGGAGGCTGATACTGGATGCCACCATAGTCCCCGACCTCATTTCGTCTGTAGTGCGACGACGTAGGCTTGCCCTGGCCAGGGTATTTTGTTCGTAGTAACGAACTAGCTGGTAGACTAATACAGTGGCTTAACTTGCCACTGGGAGATGTAGAGTGGGACGACCACATATTACACTTTTGTCAATGTTAGAGAGAGACACTGGTCTCGCAGGGACTGCTCTAGTGTCCGCCATGAGGGACAGGGTGTACTGGAATGATGATAGTACTGATTGATTTGAATTAAGTATGAAAATATATTGTTACTATTATCATAATAGCACTATATACATCTGCTATGCTTCTTCATTCGAGTTAAGTTCAAAAGTATATGATATTACCCAGAGAAACGTCGTTCTCGAAAACCTCCAGGTAGTCGTTGTAGTCAGGACAGAGTCTCTCTGGTTCCAGGTCAAACGCGGTGAAGATCAGATTAATCCTCATTCCAGCCGCCACCTCGATCTATAAAGTAGCCAGAAAAGAAACGTGGTCAGAGGACCGCCACTAAAGGGTCACTACTAGCTTTCGGATCAGTACAAACAAAATCACGTTCTTCTTTAATTTAACACTGATAAGTTGCCAATGGCTTTCTAGATCTAATCCCAAAAGAAATATTCTTCTTCCTGAATTCGTAATAATACATGTACGTACTAAATCTCATGAGTTCCAGGCCGTAAGAAATTCGTGTCAAGGGTTTGAACCTCTTAATTCTTGGGCAAACACAAACAAACCATTACGCCACACGCCTTTTTATGTTGAAGTAATAGTAGAAATCGACCTAAAAGTGGAAAGTCTTGCCCTCATGGACATTTGGCCTTCTATGGCTGGCCAACCCCCCTGGACAATTACACCTTTTTAGGCCGATTTCTACCATTCATTCAGCCTGCAAAAGGAGTCTGGTGGTGGAGACTAACACGACAGCAACATCGCCACAGGTTTCCGGCTCACCTCCCACTGGCACCGGGCGTTGTTGTCGTAGTTGTTGGGGTAGTTCATGCTGGTGAAGGTACCGGTTGGGTCAGTCAGCGACTCAGGACCACCACAGCCAGAGGCTAGAGAAGACATTAATATACTGTAAGTAACGTCGACCCGAATTGTTCTTGTTCTATCAGAGAGACCAGATCCATGTGGTTTTACAGGCAAAAGATACATACGGATCAGAGTATAGCGGCAAATGCATGGTCAGGAACTAACTAAAAAGTAGCTTGTGTAGTCCAGTGGATAGCGACCCTGCCTCTGGACTAAGAGGTTGCGAGTTTGAATTCCAGTGCTCACCCAACATGTACGCTGCTGCAAATGGACGCAATCCTTAGGACGGGACATTAAACCGTGGTCTACTGTTCATTCTGCTTGTCGAAATCTAGGAGACTTCTCCGGTACAATATGATACTGTAATAGCGTCTGTCTTCTTCCTTACGACCAATGTGAGCTAGAACTGGATCTAGATCACTTTCCTTCCTTAACCTTGACGCTGTCAATTGCGGTGACTAAAGATTACAGCGAATAACTTAATATCCTTCTTCATCTGTTCATTGACCATTTGCGGATGCGAAAAGGAGGATTGGTCGTCCAATCACAACTCTTAAGAATCTCATTGAGTCTGAAACTGGTCTGCAAAGATCGGAACTTCTGTCTGCAATGAATGACAGACTGTACTGGATACAAAACTTCACTAGCTGCACCTCATAGAGGAAGAATGAAGAAGAAGAGTGTTTAAGGTCGACTATCAAACTGTTGCAAACTCACGGTGGATGGGGTGCTGGTCAGTAGTAGTGTAGACCAGCGTGAAGCCCGTCTCCGTGACGCTCCTGTCCGTGACGAACCTGACGGTTATGACGTTGCCGTGAGAGTGGGTCGGGGCCGGGATGCCGCTTCCGCAGTACTTACCGATCAGCTCAGAGCTGGTGTCAGGGCCGTCGTAAATAGCAACGTAGTCATAGCTGAAATTCAAATTACTTATGGTCAGCAAGAGTTGGACACACTTCATGTACATGCCATGAGTTTAGGACACATGATGCATGTTTAAGTCTAACATGATAGACCATGGTCAGAAACAAGAGAACATTAATATAGAGACGGGTAAGTATATTCCTTGTGGTTGAAGCAATCTTTATTCTCTGATAATGAGTTAAGATTGATTCAACCTCAAAAAAAGACTCAATATTTGTGTCCGGACCTACAATCTTCTTCACAATATGAACAACTGACAAAACCACCGCTGTCCTAATGCTTACGTCAATTGTAAGTTACATTAAGGTCGCGCGTACGAAGCAATCGGCCATCATGGAAAAGATTTAAGAAGAGGTAATGCTATCTTTCAAGTTTCAAGTTTATCTATGTTACCAGGGCATGCCTCAGATCCATTGATCTGTTTTTCAAGTATCCCTGGCCATGGGCACACATTAAAACATACTAGTACATTCATAAAAATACAAGTTGAACACAGCAATATATAAATAATGTTACAAACATGTACATGAACAAAGCAGTCACAGTATGGGCACATTCAGTTCATTCATTTGCCAGGTTCAGTCCTACAGTCTGCAGTCCTTTACAGTCTGTTTTTAGATGCAGACGTTGTCAGCTGCCGCTGATCAGCAGCGAGACTGTTCCACAGTACAGGCCCTTGGTACTGCAGGCTCTCTTGCCAAGCCGTTCGACTCACCTACAAGACGATCCGCCAGACTCCAGGTCAAAGGCGGTGAACTCCAGCTCGATGAACCAGCCGGCAGGAGCGGCGATGGTCCAGATACAGTCCATGTTGTCGTCATACGGAGGGCTGATGCTGCCGCTGGTCTCGTTCAGGAACCCGCCGCAGGTCGTCAGCGCAGTGCCGCCTACACAAACACAAATAGAGTGAACCTTAAGAAATAACTCAACTGTCACAGTACTAACAGACCGTAAAGAGACTTAGAACTCATTCCTTCATCCTTCCTTCAAGCTATCCATCTGTATAACAAATAGTTCCATTAACATTTAGTCCTCCCCATATGTATAGGGTGTCGAAATTTCTGTGTACAGTATTGTTGTTTTTTTTTTGTAAAAAGATATTAAGTAAATGTAAAGGTAGGTAGTTAGACTTTCTTAAGGCAGTAGGGGCAGTGGGTTGTTATCTAATTCTTTTTTAACATATCAACATTGAGACATACGTTTTGTTCAAAGGTAGGACACAATTCAGGATTATAATGTACTCCTGCCATGTTGATTGATTTTAATAAAATTGAATTGAATTGGATTGACTTGACTTGACTGACCATTGCAGTTGAGTTCGTCGCTCATGTCTCCACAGTCGTTGTCTCCGTCACAGATCCAGTCGGCGTCGATACAGTGGCTGTTGGCGCACTCAAACTCCCCTCCGTTACATGCCCCATCTGTGGAAACGTCAACAAGCCTTAGATTGTCCGTGGCAGTCTATAGTTAGTATTTTTAGTACTTTTTGTTGCCTGACGGAATTGTAACAGTTTGATAATAGTTTAGTAATAGTTCCCGTTTAGAACTTTATTCAGCCTGTCACGACCCTTTTCGCCCCATGGGCTTCTTCAAGGTAATGTGGGAGTGCGTCTCAGGACTTTGGGGGACATCTTGACAATATTGGTTAAAGTTATGCATGACCATTAACATTTTTTGTAAGTACCTTAGTGGAAGCCAATGATTTATGCAAATTTTTATGACGTAACAATGACGACATCTTGAGCCACGCTCACTTAGCTTATTAGACTAAAATTACACAGGTTCATGAAGTTCTCACTTTTATACCTTTCCAGTTATGTTATGTACTATACTATGTAAGAGAAATGAGACTCTACTCACTGGCGCAGTTCTGTTCGTCGCTCATGTCCCCACAGTCGTTGTCGCCGTCACAGATCCAGTTGTCGGGGATACAGCCGCCATTGGCGCACGAAAACTGGTCATTGGTGCACTGCTGGGCTGGAACGGTGTCATACGACTGTGAGTTTCATTGCACGAAATTCTATCTTTTTTTTCTTATAATCCAACATGTAATTAGTAATAGTAATAGTGGCGTCGGTGGCGCAACGGTTAGAGCGTTGGACTCGGAACCTAGAGGTCCCGGGTTCGGTACTCACCGTGGCCCGACGTTGTGCCCTTGGGAAAGGCACTTTACACGACCTCCCCACCTATACGGTGGAGTGACGCCCACCGAGCCTCTTCGGCTAATCTGTCTTTCAGGGTGCCAAAAACATCTTACGGATTTGGTGCGCCGATGTGACAACATCTCATATTGGCCACTGAGAGCCGTAAATTTTTTTTCAACATGTAATCACAAGACGTGGTGGGGACACACTGAAGTTTTTTTTTAATTGTATTAATGCCGCCACCAACACAGGGGATAATACAATGCTCATTTTCACCTGAGCAAAGTGAGGAAAGTCGTGTAAAGTGCATTTCCCAAGGACACAAGATCGGTGGCATGTCTGGACTCGAACCCGGGACCTCTTGGTTTCGAGTCGAGCACTTTGCCGCTACGCCACGCGACCCCACAATCCTCTCTTTAAACATAACTTACAGCTTACGTAAAGGTACATACAAGTGAAGAAATGCAGCCTTTACGTAATATGCTTTAAGTTGTGTGTAAAGAATGTATATTTAATAGAAATGTAGATTTCTTGACCCATGCATGGTTTTGAAAAGAAACTACTTCGAATGTATGAATGGGTTGTCTAAAACTGTCGGCACTGCCAGAATAGTACAACAGATTTGCGATATTTCAGAACGTATAGCTACAGTCCATAAGGCTCTAGGTAATCTTCTCTGTAATAAATATCACTTTATTCAATCCCAAAAAAGGTAAACATGTTAGTAATGAACAAATCCATAGTTGGATCAAAAGTCTCCGATTATAGAATGTAGAGTTTCACTTACCGACCGCGGCTCCTAAACAAAGCAACACCAGCGCAAAAGTCTTCATCTTGTCCACCTCTGTCTTCAGAAATTAAGTCAAGGCAGCGTGACGTTGGTAACTGTATTTATACTCACACCTGTGCGGCAAGATAGCTCATGCTGTTTGATAGGGGAGTGCAAACACTGGTACGGACACTGGTACGGATGCCAACCGAAATGCAAATGTTGCTTTTCCTGTGTGACATCCCCCTACCCGTGCAGCTATCAATGTAAAGAGCTAAAGCCCCTGTTCCGCATAGTTGAATATGAGCCCCCCGAACACTAGCCGAACTCCCCCCAACCATGGTTAGGAGTAGGTCGGGAGCAAGGTCGGTCGTGGTTGGCTGGTGTTCAGCGAAGTCGGCTATTATATATATGTTCGGCTACACCAGCCGAATGTTTCAAATGTTTTAAACGTTCGGGTTTGGACGGGAGGTTCGCCCGTGGTAGGCCGGTGGTCGGGAGTAAGTCCGGCGTGTTTAACAGTCAAATTTGAGTCAAATTTAACTCTAATTTTATTCGATTTGTATAGAAATGTAGGCGTGGACTAAATCCGGTCAGACTGCCCCGAACGTCAGCAGAACCTGGTCGGCTAGTGTTCGGGAACAAAATTGGGGGTAGGTTGTGAGTGTGAGTCAGGTGGTGAATACTGGACCAGCATAATCGCCGGATATCCTAGCAAGCTTTGCTTCCCCTTCTACTCTCCAAGCAGAGGTTGGGGAAGATCGTTACCTTTGTATATATGCCCCATTTTTTCTGTCGCTACCTAGCCTGGGTACCATCCTATTTGTATGCCGGGGCTCCCATACTCGCTCCCTAAGAAATATTTATTAGGCAGCGAATATGGAAGCTCTGGCATACAAACAGGATGGCTAATCGCTACCCCCACCAACGACAGAATAACGGGACATACATAGAAAGGTAACGATCTTCCCCCAAAACCTCTGCTTGGAGAGTACCCCCTTCAACATGAATGCTTATACTTGAACGGTTCTATTGGCCGTGACGTCAGAGCACCATACGTGACGTGTGCACCCCAACCTTCGGGTCAGGTTATCATATAGAACGGAGGTAGTGCCGGAATTACGGACAGGTCCTCTGCAAATACCGGTGCAATGGCCAAGGGGGTAGAGTGCTTAGCCTGGTGTCCAGCCTTCTTAGCTTTAGTCCGCTCCCCAAGATCCGCTCCCCGCCAACAAGACTGGGCGCCGTTACCATTCAAACGATTTCAGCAGGCGGGGAGCGGACTAGAGCTAACAAGGCTGGGCACCAGGCTATACAGTGCTCGCCTTGCATTCGGTAGGTCGTGAGTTCGATCCCCGGTCGAGTCATACCAAAGACTAGTACACACTGCTTTCTCTGCTTAGCACTCAGCCTTTGGGAAAGAGTATGGGAGTTGAACACACCATTACCAGTGGACTACCCCCCAGTGATTGTAGTGATTGCACAACTGTGTGGCCCAAGGGCCTCAGAACCGGAGATGGGCACCGCCCTAACTAAATAACCTCTGCAAATACCTGCATAAAAACGCGGTGCTTGCTGAGTGATTGCACAACTGTGTGGCCCAAGGGCCTAAGAACCGGAGATGGGCGCCGCCCTAACTAAATAACTTCTGCAAATACCTCCATTAAAAACACGGTACGTGCTAAGTGATTGCACAACTGTGTGGCCCAAGGGTGTCAGAACCGGAGATGGGCGCCGCCCTAACTAAATAACCCCTGCAAATACCTCCATAAAAACGCGGTACGTGCTGAGTGATTGCACAACTGTGTGGCCCAGGGGCGTCGGAGATGGGCGCCGCCCTAACTTAATAACCTCTGCAAATACCTCCATAAAAACGCGGTACACACCACTACCAGTGGACTACCCCCCTGTGATTATAGTGATTGCACAACTGTGTGGCCCAAGGGTTCGAATCCCTAGCAGGTCGCAATATTGTACGAGCCCTTGGGAAAGGCACTTGACGACTAGCCTCCTGTGCAGGCCTCCGGGGATGTGGGAGTTTTGATACTGCGTTTTGTAGAATTATTAAAGCGATCTTTCGCCAGCCATAAATATTGCGGCCTGCTAGGGATTCGAACCTGTGCGTGCGTGTTAAACAGCACGTACCGCGTTTTTAATTGAGGTATTTGCAGAGGTTATTTAGTTAGGGCAGGCGCCCATCTCCGGTTCTGACACCCTTGGGCCACACAGTTGTGCAATCACTATAATCACTGGGGGCCAGTCCACTGGTAGTGGTGTGTGTTCAACTCCCATGCAGTGGTGTGTGTTCAACTCCCATGCTCCCATGCTTTTGTATGGAGGAACAACTGTACACCCTTGGGCCACAAAGTTGTGCAATCACTCATCACGTACCACGTTTTTATGGAGGCATTTGCAGAGGTTATTTAGTTAGGGTGGCGCCCATCTCCGGTTCTGAGGCCCTTGGGCCACACAGTTGTGCAATCACTCACCACGTACCGTACTCATAGAAAATTCAAACGCAATTCAATCTATATATATATAAACATTTTTAGATGCGTATCTGTAAACGAGACTAGACTAGTTATGTTGACCAAGCCTGTTGTAAACGTACTGTAAGTAATGCAGTTTTAATATCCTATGAATTAAGTTCAAAACTGCTAGGGTTTTCGGCATCAGACTGTCATTGTATTAATCTCCAAGCAGATCCCAGGGTGGCAAAAGAGACAGTATAAAGCTGGGTAGGCAGTATCCATTGGCCAGAGAGGGAGTGGCGCATTGGATATTGGCTTTTTTTTTTATTGCCTGGCCAATTTGATACTGTCTTTTTTCACCCTGGGATCTGCTTGGAAATTATGTTTTACTTACAGTACGTTTACAACAAGCTTGGCCAACATAAGGTAATTAGCCTAGTCTCGTTTACAGAATGATACGTATCTCAAGACAAGAGGAGGCTAGGTTTACACAAAAGCTTGTGCGTGATAAAAAGCCGGAGAAGTTCAAACAGACGTCGGTGGGACCAGGATGCCGGAGTTACCGGGGACAATGTCCGCTGAACTTTTCACACCTGACGCGACCTCCTCGGTTACCGGGCAGGTTTATAGTATGGTGGTTATCTATGTCGTGAGTAAACCGTGCCAGCCTACCATGGGTACTTATTGACACAGCAGGTAGCGAAGTTAAATGTTAACTTTAAAGAGCCAGTCCTGTGTTCTTGCCGACGTATCTACCACTTTACACAAGACCGTGCGTCAGTTGCAAGCTACCGCCTCGACCTGTGAGTATAACCCTTTGATTTCTTGTTTCTCATGATGTCAATGTATACTGTAGAAACATGGCGTATGTTCAAAAGTTCACAACTGATCAACAGGAAGCTACTAAGCTGTAGAAAGCACCGGTGTCACAGCGATCTCGCCCCCCCCCCAGCGATTTCGCCCTCCAGTGGGGGTGAGATC